TTTTTTTTTTTTTCTAGGATTTACACATAGAATATTAATTAATCAGAAAAAAAGTTTCTTTTAGCCGAAACAACAATTTAGGTCGTCTTGGTTTCGGTCGCATAAAAGAAATGCAAAACAACTTAATACACACTGCTGAATAATTTCATAATAAATTTATTTATGGCATTCAAATTTGTTTGCATGTATATATATACATACATCTCATAAATGTAATATGAACGCATATAGCGTCCTTTCCCATCTCCAAGTATTTTTATTGACTTAGGTAATCTAATAATAACAATGAAAAATTTTAATATAAAAATACGCTTTTGTATGTATCGAAAGCTAAAAAATCAAAATGATTTTAAAAAGGTTAAAACCATATACCAAACGATACGATATCTGCCATAACGATCAACGTAAACCTGACCACAATGTCACTTAAATTGAAGACAAACCTACATGAGTTTATCTTTCGTTGTGTTACCAAATGCTCTTAACAATCCATGTATGTGACGCTCCTCTATAAGTGAATTAGAAAAGTTTCTGAGTACACAAGAAACCGAAAAAAACAAAATTCTGAAAACTCGAATCAAATTTAATTAAATAAAATTTATATGCAAATATGAATAATATGAAAATTTTATTATATATGGCCTTTTAAACAAGTACGCTTTCTGCATAGCCTAAAACATTCAATGAGTTGTTTAATCTCGTTCTACTGTCGTAACGGCCCAAAAAAAAATTTAAAAAAAACACTTTGAAGAACTTGCTATGAACTTGATATTCATATCTGCCCCCTGTCATCAAGCCGTTCACATAAAGCTTCTAAAATACACACACTTGCCTCTACACGCGATAGCCATCGGAAAAAATTTGAAAATCAAAGCAAATAAAAGCAAGATTTATTTGTTCCGATAAAATGATAAAATAATATAAGTGTCAGGAGCACTTTTAAATTTAATAAAGATGCCAAGTTCTACCCATAACGGTTTAAATCCATCTATATAAGGGCACCGCTCACATAAAACAATACTTGTCAAATCTAGTTTCAATACAATATCGCACAAAATTTCCTACTATCGCTGCTTTTATTATACCGTACACGCCTTGTGCTACCGGGCATATTAAATTAGTGCGAACGTATGTAACACCCAGACGGTCTTAGGATAGTCCCACCTTTTCAGAATCATTATTTCAGAATCATATCTATCAATTATTTTCTAAAACGATCTAAGCCTGTCTATCTGTCTGCCTGATGTCTGTCTATGTATATCTGTGTTTAAACGAGAGGTCACAATTTTTGAGATATTTTGATGGAATTTCATACACAAGTGCACTTTGACCCACGGACGACTGCTGTTGAAAATAGGTTGAATCGATTAACTTTTTCGACCACACCCCATATAACGCCCTATTCTGAAAAGTCATTATATGCAATTTTCAAAATTTCTCGGCAAAAGTAGCTAAGTAGCTGTATTTCGGCATTGCAAATTGATATGAAAAGTGTGGACCGACCGGCGGGGTTAATTTTTTGAACTCCCTCTTATATAACCGTTCTTATCAGAGCTGAAGACTTTATATGGTAAAAGAGTCAAAGTTAATAAGAGGAATCTCAACCAACTTTGAGAAAATAAAAACAAGTAAAGACCATATAGTGGGGCAACCATTAGATCGACCCTGCTTCACTTCGCCTAGTACGTTTATTCACTCGTTTTAGTAATAATAACCAAAAAATTATTATCTTGATGCATACTTTTCACGAAAGCCCGTATGTTGGAGGGTGCCCGAAGCATCACATAATGCGATTCAAATTTTTTCCAACTTAAGTTTCTTCCTAAAATTTTATTATTTTTCAATTTTCGTCATAAAAAACTACAAATTGGATTTTAGAAAAATGATGTAATTTATAGAACAATGCCGCAAGACTCTCACAATACGCCCCGGTTTCCGCGGCAAGCCTTTTTGCCTGGACCATGCCAAACTACAGGAAACATTGGGGCGGGCAGCAATTCGCTATGCAATTTATAGAACCATGCCATTGTGACGATCGACTTGTGATACAATGCATGCATTTGAAAAATAGCTTCCTCTTGTCCAAGTTTTCATAGCCGTTTTCAACGGGAAAGTTTTGATACTTTTTCCCACCAAAAAGCAATGCCTTCACTAATAGTCCGCAAATCGGATTTTACCACTGTTTTGATAACAAAAACGGAATCGCTATAACTTGTAAATAAATGATCAAAGAAGCTTGACATTTTAACAGATGTCGACTTCTATGCATCAGCTTCGGCGACTATGAAGCGATGCGTTACAACATATATTTACATGGTCGCCAATCAATTTTAAAAATAAGGTTTATTTCGCCATATCGACGCTTGTAGTATATTGAGATAGTGTTTCGGGTCCAGGTACGAATATTTTCTAGAACTAACCACTTGGGCTTATACGGTATGACTATTATCTCCTTTACATGGTTTTTTTGTTCTAAACATTTTTAAGCAAATGTAGTTATCATAGTGTTGAGAATTAAATCGATTAATAAATTCGTTAGAAAAGCAATCAGTTTCTTAGTTATTCATATTCTTAGGCAAAGTCTGCTGTCCTTCTGTACCTCTAACTATGGATAATATTATAGGTGAGAGTCACGATTGTCAAGGCTGGGTTCAAATCTCAACGCGTTAATATTCACTTGGGCCTAAGTTATAGTGTGTGCTCACTCAATCGGTAAAAGCACAACACTTGGCAGGTGGACTGCAGTCGCTTTTCTATCTCTTTCTCTTCGTTCACCTATTTCCAAACGTCATCGTACTGCACCAAAAAATGCCATCCCCAGAGTGACTGATCGTATAATAAAAAAGTACATATATATGCATATATGTGCATACATAACTGCAATGTCTAAGCTTCAAAATGAAGCACGATTTCCCTTGAGAGGTCGAGGGATTTTGTGTTTTCTTTTTCTTTCAAATTTCAATAGGTCTCTCACTCTAAAGATCGGAAAGGCTCTTTAGAATTGTTCATACAAAATAGATGACTCATCGGTAGGAACGTAACGCCAGTCAATAAACTTTTCAATTTTCTTTCTTTGAAAAGGATTTGTTATCGTTTTCTCGCCGTTTTTTCACATCGTGCAGCTAAAAATAATCTTATGATAAATTCAATATATCATCAGAATGAATTCCAATATCCCAATAAGGCGACAAAGAACGGCACAAGTAAAATTTCATAATCTGGCAAGAAAAAAAAAGAGGAAAAAAAACAAAGTATAGTGAACGCATGCTTTAACCGAGATTCTACAAAATAATTACAATAAACAAAAAGGTGCAAAAACAACGATGTGACGCTGTGAATGAAGTGGACTGACTCTAACTAAATTGATACGTTGATAACGAACGCTCTATGAATGCTAAATAGGATCAAAAACCCCATACTCTTGCCACCAGTACATGTGCTAACGTGATCAGTAGCGTGTAGTCACACAAAAGTCGGCATAGAATTTTTACCATTACCAATACAATATTTGTACACATTTGCTCAAATATATGAGTCGCCTTGTTTTTTTTTCTTTTTGCACTTTACCTAGAAGTGCCTACCACTCTCCAAATTGAAATGGTATATATAAATCTAACACAAACCAAGGTAAACTCATCACTTCTTTGGTGGAAACTTAAGTGTTAAGTTTAGCTCCCCGTCGCTATTAAAGTTTTATTGCGAAACGAAACTGAATTTATTGAAAGGATAACAAAAGCAAATACAAGCGTAAATACTTTTTTTCAATTAAAATGAAATTCATGAACGCATTTGCTTTACTACTGGTGATCGTGACTCTGGTGGCTGTTAGTCAGTCCTTACCAGCGAAAAGTATGTGAAAAATTGGAATAAAAAAAACATCTCATTAGAATAAGAAAGTGAATGAAACTCTTGCTTAAAATAAATTATATAACAAAATTGAAATAAATTCATAGTGAAATCCAAGTAGTTTTTACCTAAAGAAGTACAAAAAAGCACTCAACGATTGCTTATTAATTTTTTATGGCGAAAATTCGATTCGATTTAGCCTTCTTAAGAGTATCAGAATCAAAACGGATCATTGCAGGACTTATTGAACGACATATTTTGATAATTGCAATTCGCAAAATGATCGACACCCGTAATTATAAATAATTAAAGATCGGATCGATAGTTGAATGATTACAGTGAAACAAGCTTTGCTTTGATAGATTCGTTCCTCTAATAATTTATTCCATTTGACTTAAGCCTTTTAGATCAGTTGAGCAGTTAATGAACATTCTGTCAGTCCAATAGGTCGTTAGGAGAACAAATTGTCGTAATTACTTAATAATATACCCACGAATAATAAAAATAATCTGGTCAATAATCGCAACTTCTGTCCGATTTCTAGGATTAGTTTATTACCAACAGCCCGGTCATTATTTTACTAATGGTCCTCAACGTATGATGTACGTTCAGTATGTTCAACCTTCTCATACTTTTGCACGCTCCACACAAGCAGCTGAAGCTTTGGTGGCCGGCGAAACTGTCGCCACTGGCACTTATCTAAAGGGTAAGGAATGACAACAAAAAAAAATTATGTTTCATTCACTGGAACTGCAAAAAATTATTATAAAATATTCTCTTATTTTCTCTGAAGATTGCGATCATGCTGAAACTGATTTAGCTGCTGCCGGTCCTGTGCTTGATGTCGCTCTTGAAGAAGACTCAAATTTAGAAGAAGATATTTTATCTGCTGCAGGAGATCATGGTGTGCAATCGGTGGCTGAAGCTTATCCTGCCGTTAGCAATGTTGAGGTACCTGTGGAAGTTGATTTGGTAGCGGAAGAGAATGAAATTCCTGGCGAGGGCTCAGATTCGGCCAAAGCTCCCCGCGATTTCAATTATGATGGTAATGGTGAAAAAGTTGAAACATCCGAGCACACTGCGTCCTCGGCTACAATCGAAGAAAGTGTGTACACTACGCTACCTGTGACGGCAGAAGAAGTTGAAGTGCCCGCTGTGGATATTAAACTAAAAGAATTACCCCCACCTGCACCTATTTCGCCTGTGCAATTACCAACTAAACGCTATTTACCTTCAAAGAAGAAGGTTTTCGTTGAATTGGAACAATCTGCTGATGTCGGCGAACAATTGAAAGTAGCAGCTAAAGAAGATGATGATGATAAAATAATCGATCAGGATGAGGAAGACGTGGAGGAGGAAGAAAGTGAAGATGCAATTGCTGCCGGTATTCCCAAATCACCTGCTCGTATACCAAATGCTCGGCGCCCGCTAGTTAAGAAACCAGCGAGAGCCTCTGAGAAACCGAAATCGCCAGCCGGCAGCTTCTTCCCCATTGACTTTGGTGGCACTTCAGGTGGTGCTATAGCCATTGCGAATGCCTACAGCACCGGTGAAGGAGGCTCTGCTACTAGTCATGCTATTGCTTATGGTTCCCCAGAGGCATCGCGCACTCGTACGCGTCCTAGCAAATTACATTAGATTTTTTCGACAGGATTTCGTTTCTTTCTGTTTCCATAAAAATTTGACTATTTTCGACTTTCTTTCCATTTAACGGGGAATTATCGAAATCTAATATATATGTTGATGTTTATTTCTTTACTTTATTAGTTTAATTATATCCAAAACAAACAAAAGAATCGCTTAATATGGAAACAAAATAATAAAAGATTTGATGAGAAAATTTTAGTTTGGAAAAAATTTCACTTGTTTTATTTTTCCACTCGCCATCAAAGGTTAAACAACAAATTTTGCAATTTCTCCTTATGTGCATAGGCTTTTTTTAGGGGTAAAGTATGGTCTTCTGTTGTTAACGGTAAAGCATGGAGTCTGCAGTCTGACTATTAACTGCGTATTAACCCATAAGGGTCCTCTGTAAACCCGTTAATGAAAATTACGATGAGTCGATGGCGTTATGGATAGTTGCTAGGCGTTGGTGTCGCTGTTATTTTTTCTTTGTCTTCCTTTTGCTATACTATAGAACTAGGTTTAGCGTAGGAGTAAATTACCCCTAATGTTTTATTTAATAATATAATAATGATATATTTTGTTGAGAGTCATTAGGATATGTAGCCACTAATAGCACAAAACAAATATTCTCGTTTAAAAAGAATTTTTAATTCTATTGTTATTACATATAACTGACGGCCGTTTCTTCTTCAATTTGAACAATTGAACAACTGAACATCCGCTGACATAGGTAGTGCCCTTTGATTCTTCTTTTATGCCTTCCTTTCGCAAACACAGTTGCGATTAGATCGCGTTCACCAAAAATCAGCCCTTAGAGTCATATGTGGCCGAGTAGGTAAAAATCACGGCTGTCATAGGCTGTCCTCAGAAAGTTACTATAACCTGTAGCGGAAGCGGTGTAGGATGAAGCGACAATATTCTCCGGACAACTTAATAATTATATATTTACATACGTACAAGGAAAAATAATTACAGCAACAATAACAGTCATTGTAATAAATGTGAACCGATTTCATTTTTAGGAAACAGGGCATGGGTAAGCATAAGCGATTGCTTTAAAAGTTAGAGAGAACAACTGACACAAAAAAAAATGTAATTCAGCTGTAAACGAATCCGTTATACCCGCCGCCTTCAAACACACACAAAAACACATAGTACTGAATATTGTCCATACCATTTGAGCAGTCGATTTTTTTTTGATTTTCCTACACATATTGGAGGATCACTCACGACATATGCGTGTGAATTTTTATGATGGTAGTGTGTAAGTGACAAACCAAAAAACATCTATTTTTGACATTATACAAATAGACACACAGACAGATGGGCGGACATACTTATGGGAAATTAAAATTTAAAGTCTCTGAAGCCTGCTTCTGCGTATTGCAAACTTTTTGACCAAATAAATATTCCCCTATAATTCGGTGGGGGGTACAAAAACTACAGCAGAAATGTTGTAATGTGCTGAAAATGTTGCTTTCAAGGAAGTCTGAGAGTTACATTTGAGTAGCACACAAGCACACGCACATGCAGACAATATGAAAAAGAAAGCATTTGTTCGTTCAGCCGGAATTACTGAATGAATTCCACTCTCAAATGAAAATTGAAATATGCATAAGACTAGTAAAATGTTCGTAGTCACAAGTCAACAGCACAAATCTGAATCAAATGAAGAAATTAGGAGAGAGCTTAGCAGGGTTTAAATATTTGGCAACTACCTAGAATGTATCTTAATTACTATAAAATAGGTCTGCTAGATCACGATCTAAGCATGACGCTCTGCGGCGCAAAATGTTTCATGAAGATCGCATCTATCAGCCCTACCACCCGGGTAGTGCATACACAGAAGTATACGTCACACAAACACATTGAAGTAAATGTATGTATATGATATTGGAAAACTGCAATACCGATCAACATATCTAACTGATTCGTTCGCCTACAAAACTGGATCCATATACGCGCATCCATTTACATCACAATTAGAAACTTAAGATCACCACTTGTGGTACAAGGTATATTAAGTTTGTGCGGACGTGTTATAACACGAATCAGATCGATCTGAATTACTTTCAATCAATTAATCAATTTAAACTTGTCTATCCCTTTGTCCGTCTAATGGCTGTCAATGTATATTTTTGTATCCAAACCACAGATCACAATTTCTAAGCTATTATGATGAAATGTGGCACAATGACGCACTTTGATCTAAGGACGAACGCTATTGAAAATGATTAGCATGGGTCCACTTTTTCGACACCTCACCATATAACATCTCAATTGGCAAAGTCGGCATACGAATAACTGTAATAAGCCAAGAGGTGTAGCGTATTTAATTGGACGCCATAGAAGCTCACTATAGCGTTTTCACTTGTTTTTATTTAACATAATTTAATATTAAATTTTATTATTTTATTTTAATATTAAATGACTTATGGAGTTAAAATATTATTATTATTATTACTATTATTATTATATCTTAATATATACGCTACACCTCTTGGGTAAGGTCTTATATCACTAGCATCTTAGACTTTCGGCTTTTATTAAAAACTCTACCGCACTTGAGATTTGAACCCAAGACCGTTGAGTTGCTAGTCGAGACTCTTGCCTAGTCAGCCACTCAGGCGGATCAGGATTTAAAATAGAAAAAATCGCTTGTGGAGTAAATAACACTATGTGTAATACTGTGGTAATAACACAGAAGTTGGCCTGCAAGGCCATTTACTGAAACCTAGTAACATTACGCAACTTCCTTGAGTTAAAACAGATATTATGTATAAGTTTTACTTTAGTCGAATGCTTGGTTTCCCGATTGTACAATGCAACGTGTACAGCACACACACACATTCGTTTATATACACATATAAACAAACATTGTCAATTAAAGAAGTTTATCTGAGCCGTTGTGTGTCCCACTTAAAAGTATTATCGTTCAACTAGTTAGATGTTTCATTGAGTTTAGCTAACGTTTACTTATTAAAATTTTAAAAACAAAGCGAAAGGGAAGGGCTAAGAACCAGATCTAAAGAATAGGATAGATGGACAACATGCTTAAATAAAGCATTCTGCGTTGATTACTGATTATTATCATCCATTCTTCTCTCTCTAGATAAGATAGAGAAGCAGTAGCAGCGATGCTTTTCGTTATTCTCCAAATGTTTGATCGAGATGACGCGCCGCAAATTTCTAAACAGAATGATAAGGATAGGTGAAAGGTGGGTGGTTTTCTCTTGAGAGGCCATCAAGCTCTGTCGATTTTCACTATAAACTGTTAAATTCGGTTACGGCTTTTGTATGCAACAATAATCAGTAGAATGCGTCCAACGGAAACAATCAAAACACATACAGCATTTTTTTCTTTTTCTCCTTTTTATTAACAAATTTCATAGTTTTTTTTTTTTTTTTTTTTTTTTTTTTTTTTTTTTTTTTTTTTTTTCTTATTCAATAAAATGCTTAACTAAAAAAAATATTTTCTTTTTACTGAGTTTAACATAAGACTGCTTAACTATAGCACATAGAGTGGTTCCTTATCTTCCTCCTTTTTCCTGAACATTTACTTTTCACATTTTCGAACCTGTTGTTCTAGTTCCGACTCCTTTATTCTCTTTATTTTATTTTACTAATTATGTATATGTTTTTAAGCTCTTTCGAACACAACAAGGAAAACCCAAAAAATGCAAGTTCGTTAAAAAAATAAAAAAACCAATAGCATTTTAATCGCTGTCGTCAGAGACTTCCTGCTATGATAATTATCCACCCTATGTATGTATCTAAGGTTGTATTGGACTAAATTTTGGTTTTCTCTCTTTATAGTAAGTAGTATGATAGTAAATTCTTCTTAAGACTATGGTTAATTTGCTACATTTTGATGTTACAGAAATTAATCGATATATTTATGCATTCGCATACGCTTATATACATAAAAGTATTATTACTTCGGTAAGAGATACGCATCGGTGGCCAAAACTCTTGGAAAGCTTTATTCAATGTCATTTTATATAACGATCCATTTTCTTTTTTCTTTTTTCTTTTTTTTGGTCCATTACACTATTTGGTCACAAATGCGTTCGTTAGTTGATCGTATATGAGTTGAATGTATAGGTTTTTTTCATTTCATTTTGATTTAATTTAATTCTACAGGTTTTGTCTATTTTCGTATTTTTTTTTTTTTTTTTTTTTTTTTTTTTTTTTTTTTTTTTTTTTTTTGGATCTGTCTGGGATTAAGGCATTTCTTAGAAGGCATCTGATTTGTTATCTCTCTATTCATCGAAGATTCGACACAATTTATATACAAAAGAAAACAAATAAAAAAAAAAGAAAACCGAAGAAAAATACGAAAAATATAAAGTATAAAAAAAGAAGAAAGGTAAAGAAAGAAAACAGAAAGAAAGAACCCGTAATACCCTCCACCTACAATACCGGAACTTCTGACTTTACTCATTTCTTGCTTCAATACATCAATAAATTAACTAAGATCGCGCTTTACCTCTAGTTCTAAGTTACAGATTTTTGTTTTCACATGCTTTTACATTTTGGTCGTTGGATTTTTCACACAATAACACAGAGAAGTTTTAATGGCTTTTCCAATTGAAATTGAGTATATATATATGCTTATTACAAGATACCGACTAAAAGCTAAAGCTGACATAATTGATTGATTGATAAACCGAAGAAAGAAGAAGAAGGTGGGAGGGGGAGGGGGAGGGGTGGTGCTTTTCCATGCAGTTCGGAAGTGTATTCCCGCCGATTCATTTATTTATTTGATCGTAAATTGATTGCGCAATTCCCGTGTACGTGCGTGTGGGTGCTTGTGCGCCGGCGCGTGTGTGGAGGGGGTAGATGGATTCGTAAGCTACATATGCCTATAGTCACGGCTATCTGCTTCTATTCGCCTCATACACAAAAACCTCGTAAGAATATGCCGCGTGCTGCATCAGCTTCAGTTCTTTACTATCGTTATTTAAAAGAAAGGGGAAAATTACACAGAGTCAGGTTAATAATGCAAGTAATTGTAAAAGTGGGCGAGTCCGAGATTTTTGTAGAACATTTCTTTTCTTTCTTTAATTCATAGTATTTTCGACGCAGTTTCGATGCTCTGTCGCGCTCGGATAGAGATATATAAATAAAGAAGAGATGCTATTCATCAGCTCGCGGAAGAATGTGAAAGAAACAACTTTCGCAATATTTCGAAATTGAAAAATTGCTAATGTTATCAAACAAACTATTTGCCTTAATTTGCTTACCGTACTTTATAGGAAGTTAACGACAGACTGACCTCAAGAGCTTCTACTAATTCTCCTACGGTTTCTCTTCTTGAACAAGAGGACGCGTAGGCGGACGAAAGGCGTAATAAACTTAGTCCGAATATTGTACTAATCGACTTTACACACCTATGGCAAAACATGAATATTAATTTTACATTATGTCGCTGAAGTTGAACTTGAAGTATAGGGCACGTTTGCGTCATTGATTGAATGGTAAAAAGTTTTCATTATTTAGAAAAGACGGATCGAATGCACTTGTGTTAAAGTTTCCCCTATTTCTGTGTACAAAAAGGGCGTAATGTACTATTTCGCTCTTTTTTCCTGAAGTCACTCGAATAATCGAAAAAGTTCGAGCCGAAATTCGTGAAAACTTATCTCTTATATATAATATAATCGAATTTTCTTTTTTTTTCTCTTTTTTTTTTTTTGATTTTATTGTTCAAAATAAGCAATAACAACTAACCGCATATACTCCGATTTTTAAGGAATAACTTAAAAACTCGGCAGTGAATTAAGAAATCAAACTACAATGATATTAACGCTAACGTAAATGATCCCTGATTGATTTACAACATTTTTTTTCATGTTTCTCTTGGCGTATCTAACCCCACTCGGATTGAAAAATACGAGCACACGGCTAATTCGGCGCGGAATCTCAAACCGACCCTCATTCCTTCATTCAGAAATGACCCGAAAAGTATACTTCGTATTATACACGAAACCATAAACTCATCGCTCTCTATATCATATCCACTTCTTTGGTGATGGCTCCAAAAAATATATAAAATTTATTACAATTGAAAACTGGTAAAAAAGTTATATACCGCTTTGTCTAATTAAATTTTTCGTGTAATTTCATGACAAAATATCAATAAAAAAAGATATATTTTATATGGGAGGCTTTATATGAGAAATGTAACCTGATGTGGTCTAAATTTAGAAATATTAATTTTTTTGTCAAAGATTTTCTTACTCTTGACCTATTTTTGTTATGAAGCACTGTTGATTGTGTGTAATAATAGACATTAGCTTTTCTTTGATGAAAACCCTTCGTAAAATTAATGTTATGTCAACCCAATGTTATGGACTAATTTTCATCATATCCTATGAATATTTAAATAGATTTTCGATAAAAAGGTCAACTTCTGTGGATGGAATGAAAAAAAAAATTGTTAAACTTCAGACAGACGGACCGACAGCACACAAACGCTAATCGTTTCAGAAAATGATTCTGAACTAATCTCTCTCTCTTCATTGAATATATTATAGTCATTCATACAAACAATATACCCCCCGCGCCCCTCACCAACAAAGTGCCGTAAGGTATAATAAAAGAATATTATAAAAAAAAATCAAACAATTATTTACGTTAATCTTTTTTTTTTGTTTTGTAGAAATTACAAATGGCTGATTGCAAATGGACCGTCACACTAAAGGACGCGGCCGATACCATGTTACTGCTGACACAATAATGTTAAAAATTGATTTCAGTTGGATTTACAACTTAAACGATGTAGAAAGAATGTTTGAATATTAACGAAGAATTACAATTAATATAAATAAAATTTTAACAAGTATATATTAAGTTATACTTTTTTACAAAAATATTTCTTAAGAGAGTAGTTTTTTGGCATGGCCATGCAATCAATTGAAAACATATCTTTCGCAAATAAGTTTTTCTTTTATTCTTCAATAAATTGCTAAGCGTTATTTGCGAGAGATACGTTCGTTTTCAATTAATTACAAAACCGATTGATAAAGTCATGAAACAATTGAACTGGGCATGAACAATAATAACGACCAGTGAATAAAAGAACCGCCTTAAACATTCGATTATAATAGATGTGTTGCGCCTGCTTGACTCTTTTATACTGGACAATATTTTGTTCAATCATTGACAGTAGGATGGAATATGTTGACGTGCCAAACGGCCGGGTTGTATACGGATAGGTAATAAGGCGCTTCTTGGTGTAGGTGTTCTAAGTTCTTGCTTAAATTTTCTTAATTGTGGGAGATCTTTTTCGCTGATACACGTGTTCAATCGTTTCAAATCTTTTTTTAATACACTTTCGCCTGTTGGTTTTTTATACACACGCCTCTCGATTTTGAAATATCTTAGAGAGTTTTGAGTTAAATACAACAAAAGGTCGTAGACGCGACACCTGCCTTTAACCCTAGTTCGAATACGTCGGCTTTTTGACTCTTGAAAACCAAGAAAGTCATCGCTAATATCCACGGGTATGCGCTTCGCGATCACATAGCTAATGCTCCTTTTAACATCATTTTTAAAAGGCTTTCGCGACAAATTTCTGCCCCTAATCATTGTCGGCATCTTGAATATTCCGTCATCAATTGCACTAGAATTTGTTTTCTTTTGTTCATCTTTTTTACCAATCGAAGATTCTTTGTGCATTGTTTTGGCTTGATTGATTGGCTTATCTAGCACAATTTGAGTGCTCCTACTGCTTGGTTTCATAATAGCAGGAACTTTAGAGTTGTTCTCAACCATTTTTTTTCCTGCCATGGGCTTAAAATTCTTCAGCTTCATTTCTTTGGTTGAATCGATCGGCGGAATTATAAGAGGAGCTATGTTTTCATCAAATCCGCAAAAATCTTCAAGGGCGGTATATTCTGGATCATTATAACTGCACTGGCTAGTTTCAACACGGCGAGATTGGTTGACGCTAAGGGGTTTAGTATTAACTGCCAGTTGCCCGCTAGACTTATACTTGCTGCGTAATAAAGGACCACTGGTGTCATTTGTAATCCGGATTTCATTAGTACTAATAACGTTTTCAGTAGAAGCTTGTGTAGATACAAACAATGATTTTGCCATTTGACGTTCATGGCAGCGTTGTTGATATGATTGCCTTTCTTCTCGCCTGCCTGCATTCCCGGCTACGGATTGACTTCGCTCGATATTTTCGTGTCCAACTGTCATCGTTTCATGACAAGTGTTGTTACGACCGACCCAATTATTTCTCGATAGTCCACCACGCTTTTGGCCCTTCCTCGAGGTTCTTTCCGACTTCTGACCTTCAACCGTACGATCACGGCACTTATTGGTATTAGTCACATACACGCTACAATGCGGAGGTGATATAGCTCTTGAGAAATTGGATGTCGCCAGTTTTGTTTTAATTTGCAACCATGGGTGTTGTAAAATTTGTTCGAGAGTAGGCCTCTTTGCGATATCCTTCTGTAGGCACCTTAAGATAAGATTTCTTAATTCCAAACTAGCCTGTTCCCACCGATGAGCGTGGGTGAAAATTTCATCATCAAGGATACGCTGTTTTAGCGTCGTCATGTTCACATGCCGATCGTCACGTCCATGACGGAACGGCGTGTGCCCCATAAAAATTGAATACAACGTGGCTCCTAAGCACCAAATGTCAAACGATGCCGAATAAGTTGCATATTCAGGATGCTGCAAAGCTTCGGGCGGTGCATAATCAATTGTATAGCGAGGTACGTCATTCCATTTATTCCTTTTACTATTATAACTGAGAATGCGATGAAAAATATATAGTAAATATTGTATATTAAGCAAAAGGCATCAAGTTTACGCTACACTTACCTAGCAGCACCAAAATCAACAAGTTTTATTTGATCCATGCCGTCGTCAGTAAAAATAATATTCTCCATTTTCAGGTCCCCATGTATATAACGCTTTTCGTGTATATGCTTCACAGCATCGATTAATTGCTTAAATATATCACAGCACTTTAATTCATCAAAACTGTACTCGTGATTTGCAATTCGCTCTGCTACTTCGTAGCCTTTAACATATTCTTGTACAATCCAAATATCAGAACCTTTACGATATGTAGCCACATATTGAGCGATTGACTTGTGGCCGTCTCGGCCGCATGAAATTAAGGCGTCTACTTCAGAGGGCCGATATTTTGCTTCTGGGATGACTTTGACGACATAGGTCTGATTATTATAAATAGTTGTGTAGCACTTTCCAAATGATCCAGCGCTAATTAGTCTTTTAAGAACAAGCGTTTCTGGTGCTGAAGGAGGATCCTATAACGAAATTAAATTCGATATTAAAAGGAAAATGTCGTAACAGTTGCTTTGCGTAGATACGCTTACCGTAATCGGTCCATTAAGATATTCAACCGGAAACGCGGCAACGCTTTTGGTAGATAATCTTCTGCGTAAATGTTGAGGCGCTACGTATGAATAGCTTCTAAATAAACGATGTGAGTTGACAGGAACTGGAGCCGGCGAATCAATAACAGGCTGCTTTGTAAATTCTTCGCTGAAATTCTGTGTATCCTCTTCCCCATTTAATGTTGGCTTAAAAGGTGCCTTTCGCCTTTTGCTTTTCAATTCATTCCAATTAATGCCACGAAAGAATGGATGATTTTTGATATCTCCGGCACTTTTTTTATTACCACCCAATCGCTTCTTGGGATCCTTGTGTAACATTTTGAGTATAAAATCCTTTACGGTTTCACCCAACGTGGGTGGAAGTACAGGATCCACTTTTTGAATTCGTCGTGATATATCACTTTGAGAATTCTGTTGTTCAACTACAGTAAACGGCGAAGCCCCAGTTAATAATTCGTAGGTAAGCACTCCAACTGACCACCAATCCACAGCAAGATCGTGGCCACCAGGGCCAGCTCGTATTATTTCCGGAGCCATATATTCCAGAGTACCGCAAAAACTGTGCGCCCTATGATCAGACTCTGACGAAAATATCTTCGATAATCCAAAATCTGCTAACACAATGTGCCCCTGACCATCCAGCAAAATGTTTTCTAACTTTATGTCTCGATAGATTATGCCCAGCTTGTGCAGGTGCTCCAGAGCCAAAACCACTTCGGCTATATAAATTTTAACAGTTGCTTCCGAGAAATGTTCCGCTTTATAAAGATGTGTAAATAATTCACCACCACTAACGTAATCTTTAAATAGAATTTCATTTTGAATCAATTCTAAATAAGAAAAATATTAAACACTTACCTAAAACTAAATAGAGTTTCGATTCCGTTTGAAAAGCATAATGTAAGCCTACGAGGAACGGACTTTGTTGTATAGCTTCGAGCACCTATTTTACGAGGAAAAAAAAAGATCTTTCAATTAAAGTTCTTTTAACACCTTAAGGTTTATTTAAGAGACATAACTCCAAGCTCATCTAAAATTCGAAAACTTTGGACGTATGAAGTGCTATTTTGAACTGAAATAGTAGTTAGTAGAATAATTTTGAAGTAAATTTGACTTGATTTTGTATTCGATACTACCGACAGAAATATACAAATTTTTTATCCAATAAGTGATCACAGCTTAGCTAATTTTCTATGCAAAAGAAATCTTCCATGCAAAAGACATTTAATAGATATTCAAAAATCTTAAGATATAACTTCACTTTATATACGACAAGCAAGCGAACAAAAACTATTCAACACAATCACCAGGACAGATTGTGGCCACTATCAAAATAAACGTATATTACAATACAAAACAGCGGCCTTTCATCCACAGGCCTGCTCCAAGTAAACTGATCACGATAACTTTCCTTTCCAAAAAAAAAGTTATTCGTTTTCTATTAACTTTTTCATATTGCCAAGTTATGATCAGGAAAGGTCACTTAAAAGGACAATCGCAGAAGAACTCTATGTTAAATCGATTTAATGCTAAACAAGATGGTATGATTTGTCGAAAGCAAATATGACTGATCTTCCGTAGTGGTCGGATGGTGTTGCAGCTACAGCAAAGAAAAAGAAGGAATAATATTTAAGTAAGTTCGACTTTTAGAGCAGGAACATCTGTCGTTGCGGCGTTGTTTCAGAATTGATCTTCGAACTGCTGACAATATTTATTTTTAACTAGAATTAAAACTATTTAAGCCAGTGGAAAACTATATTTGCTGTATGATAAGTCATCGTGAATATCTACTCCTTCAAGCTAGTGTATGAAAATAGAATCTCTCTCTCTTTTCATTAAAATCTTTCACCTGAACTCAAGGACTGTTCCTTGAGGTAGGTGAGATACTCTTCTACAAATACATTTCGAAGGTTTATGTAATTCGAGAGCAAGTAGAACCAAGGATATTAATTTCTGGAAAGATATATGCCGTTGACACTGCATATCTCTTTGAATATGTGTTGCGCAGCTAACTGTAAAAAACTGTAATTCCCCATCACAACTTTTGCGATTGTGAGAGCGAGAATACAAAAATATTGATCAGCATTGAGAATACAAAAACTTGATCGCATGCTAAACGTCACGAATCAAGTCAAAGATGAGCTTCTTTTTCTGTATATGTTCCTGCTACACATGTTTAATATCACTCTCCTATATTCTATCTTTCACCTGAATATCGGTACCACGTTGGTCTTTTTTTACGTTTTTAGCAAGTTTTGGTGAGATTTTTTATACGCTACATGACTTATTTATTACTTATATGCAAGCGAAATGTACCCAATAAACGGGATGCACAATACAAATACAAACACAACACACAACCAAATATAGGTAAAGTAAAACCGGTCAGGGTGTTTGTGTTTTTTATATTCGGTTATACCATTTAATTTGAATTGCTTTATACCGCATTTTTCAAGTACGATTGACGCACATACGTACACTTTAAATATGCTTCACCTAGAACTACGAGCATAAGTACATGGAGGAAATTTCATTCACTGTTGGCGTGTAACAATCGCTCCTCCTCGGCTGTAGCCGCGCATAAATATTAATTTAATATGAACATAGATCAAATTTTAATAATTTCTCTCTCTTTCTGAAACTATTAGCTATTGTACTTAACTTTTTGCCGCGAAGAAGTCAATGCAAAACAAAAATCAAAGAGAAAATCTCTGGAGTTTAGTTTATTATGAGGTCTTTATCACAGCGTGATCCGCCCACAATAATCTAGCTGACGACCTTACACAATTTTTAAAATAAAGTTTATGCATATTGTGAGCAACGCCCTTAGAATTTATAAGGAGTGATGTAAAATTTTTCACCTTCTCACCAGAACGACTTGTCAGAAAAAAATGTGCTAAATAAGTAGTGGTGGAAAAAGTGGTCCGTCCCAAGCCTTCTTCCTTGGGCCAGAGTGCATCAGTGTACCAAATCTCATTAGGATATTTAAAAAATCTCAGTCTGCAACTGAACACAAGAAAATAAGATGGATAGAGGGGCAGAAACGCTCAGATATATTACGAAAGTGATTCTGAATCGATCGGCGTAGCAAAAGGTGGGTCTTTCAAGTCTTTCTGGATGTTGCATACATCCGCATAAACTTTATATATCCTTGCACTATGAGAAATGTAGAGTATAATAAAAACCGGTCAAATACAATATGAACGTTTATACGAATGTTCATTGCAATTGCATGGTCCGAGAGAAAAAAGTGTTATTGTACGGCTACATACTTATCGGCAGCTCAAATTTACTTACTTGACGCTCGGTTGTCGTATGCTCCGCTGTTTTTTTCTTTTGAACAACTGTGTCTTTCTTCAAGACCTTCATGGCGTACAACTTCTTATCGTCATCCCCACCATTTTTACGTACTAGAAACACTTTCCCGTAAGCTGTCAGAAACATCGTGATCATGTAAATTTTTTTTTGTATTAACAATCAAAAGAAAGTTGGGGAAATGTGGTTATACTTACCACCTGTGTCTAGAACACGTATCAGCGTAAAGTGAGAAAGATTGACTTTTTCATCATCCGTAGCAGTACCTTAACACGAGAAAGTATAGAAGGGAATATATATGTAAATTCCGAGAAAAATCATAATGACGTTTTCTATTCTTGCATATATTTGTGTACATCACCCTTGTGTATGGCTGTTTGTTTGTTTTTACGGTCAATATGATTATAAAATAATGTTTCATTTCATCTTTATTCCATATAGGCATTGCAACAAGAGAAACCTTCACAACGTTTTATGGTCGCGGTATTTGTTTGTTTTGAGCCCCATTGAATGCGGCACAATGCGAAGAGATCAGTGAGACTGCAGTTATTTGACGGTTCCAGTTTACAATAGTAGTAATAAGTGTTGCAGACCATTAGTGCGGAAGACTGCTAGCTTTACGACAATTCGTACCCACAACATTCTGAAGAAGCTGTAGTCTTCTTCATCTTGTGTTCTTTTGTTTTCCTATTTGTTTGCTTAGAACTCGCCAAAAAAATATAGGTGGACGAAAATTACTGTGGATTTTAATAACGATTGGAAGTTTCCTCCGCCCAAAAAGAAGCATCTAATTTTCGTTTATGTCCCCAAACATTGATGTCTTACTTTATAATTATAATAATAGGCGTTTTTGCTAACAATCAAATAAATACGTTCTATTGTATCTTTCCCGTTAGGTGGGTTGCCTATGCTATTATTGAGATTATTTCATAGACGCGGGTATGTAACCTTATGGTTGATGAAGTGATGGGGAAGGGACATTTGCACAGCAGAAAATTGCATAGGAATGTGTGTTCTGCTCTAGTCATCAACTGATATTTTCAAGCTGGGCATATAGCTTTCGTAATCTTCATCTTTATAGACTAGTTCAAGTTATTTGTTTTTATCTACCGTTCCCAAATCTGAAAGAACCCTTCTAAGATAATAAGTAGTAATAAAGTTTGAAAAAATACTTGAATTCTTTTTTTGTAAAAAGGTGCGTGCATAGCCAAGATTTACAATAATACAAAGTTATAAAAAAATTTGGACATAACCCTTCAATTCGAAACCAATCGTTTTTATTTGGTTTTATATAAAAAGCCGTATGACTTGCTGATCCCGATTGTGATTAATAAAAAGTTGGGCAACTTTTCATGCCTGCATATTTGTATTTGTCCATTCATCCATTGCACGCTTTATAAGCGTCCATAGACTTTTTGCCTTATAATATATTAGTATAATGGAATATATATTGGATTATGTTTTAATCAAAATTTCACAGCATAGCAACAAAATTAGGTAACGCAATTCACTTATTGCGGTTTCGATACTGTCAAAATACTTGTCATGCAAAGATTGCATTCGTGTGCTTTATATATACATACTATATTAAAAATAGAAATGTGAAACGCCCTGTGCAGAGAAACTTTGCTCACGTTATTGTGTAGTTGTAAACAGAATTGTTTCGTCCATTTTGGCGTTTAAAAATAATACACAGTCGTAAGTCTCGAATTCCTAGCGGACGGTTTAAAACATAGTAATTGTAAGAATTGGTTTCAACAGAAATTTGTTTGTTTTTATAGTGATCACTGAGATGCATATCCAAAAGTAATTGCCTTAAATATTAAAAAAGATCAAAATAAAATATTAACAGTGCTCTGTAAACTAGTTTTAGCAGCAGCAACTTCTAGAAAGTGTAAAATCTATCATTTTTATTTCTGTATACCGCAGTGAAATACCAAAATTAAATCATTTTTATAATCGTTCAAAAATTAAATCAGTCGAGTGATTTTTACAAAAACGCAATATGCAGACGTTTTTTTGAAAAGCCAAAAATATTGTAGTTCTGCCGAATATGGCGTTAAAGCATAATTAGTGAAAGCGATTCCTCTTTTTTCAGAGGCTTTTTGTCGTTGGTTGTCAATGAATTATGAATGCACTTGATAAAGCGAAACGTCGATAAGTCTAAACGTTAATCTGTGTATATATTTTTTCTCCGTCTTTCGCACTGTGCATTGTATATGCCTTCATTATGTGCGCGATACGACACATAGGCAGCAACAGCAGTGAAGAAGAAATTCTTATAAACGTGTATGTAACATATGCATATATAACTTTCATTTAATATTAAAATCAACGTAAAAAGCAAAAAGAATATATTCGACTTCGGCGGTATAAAAATTGTATAAAAAAATTATTATTCACATTTCGTCAAGCGAATAATGTATGCATTGAATAAAAATGGTTAAAAACTTGAAAATTAAAAAATGATGATTAAATAGACGCTCATTGAAGAATGTACAGGGGCATGTATTCTTGAAAAAAATAAAAGACGCAACGTATATAAACAAATACATATAGACATAAATATACATATATTTAATATATATATATATATACATATCTAAAAATATGTATATATATAAATAAATAAATATATGATTAGCTTTTTAGTGAAAATTGTTAAATTATCGAAGATGAACACACTTCGTGAAACATGAAATTTTAAACTTAAATTCCATTCCATTACAATAAGCATATATTGTTATTATTGTTTTAGATAGAGGACAAATTAAAAAAATGATCCAGAAAACCCGAATTAAAATAGCAAATGAACGTGTTTTAATAATAATTTTTTCATAAAAATCACCGAAATCTAATTGAAAATAAATCAAGATAGCAAATAGGGTTTTATAAGTCAAATTAGAAATATATAAAGAAATTTTACACTGCCGAATTTTAAGGCAAATATGAGTCGGTACCAAAATAAGACCAAACCAGCCCATGCCGTTTCATTGGAAAACACTAAAAGGATGTCTATGCGGCGTCAACTGGATCATGAAAGCGGATATTACGAAGATGTTAGCGATGGTCGTTATTGTCACGGTAATAACAATAAGCGTCAAACACTGCCTTCAAATGAAGCCAGAATAAAGCGCCAGAAAATTATGCAGTCTTCCGTTCGGGCAACTGTCACTACTACCACTACTTCTGCAACGCATGTCGAAAGTTCCGCAAACAAGATGGTTTACTACGCGTCAAATTTAAACAACCTGAACAACAATTACACGTCTAATGCGCTGAATTCTCAAAGTGCATATACGAGGAGCGCAAGTTTTTTGCATAATAATAATAATAATGTTAACAAATACAGTAGTAAAGATAAAGGCAATGCTCTCTTCAATAATGGAACGAACAGAAAGCCCGCAATTAACATTGATGCAATACCTCTTCCTGGCGAGATAGTAGAGGTAAAGGATAGCGACAGCGAAGAAGACGTACCGCATACTTCAAAAGCTAGAAATAGCAAATATGCCAACGGACACTCTACTCCCATAACCAATTTACCTACGTATATGGTAGACGAAGGTACTAACCGCAGCTACAGTAACCAGCACTATTGTAAACTGGAACCGTCAAATAACTACAGTCGCAATGATCTCTCATGGGGCAACGTTCAAAGGGGCTCAAAACAAACAAATACGGCTGACAGCGAAGAAAAAAGTTCCACTAATGCAAATGGAGATTTCGAACGTTTGCAACGCGAAATAGAAGAGGTCACCCAGGTGCATACGAAATGTAAGTAAATCCAACAAAATATTACTTAAAAGATCGAAGGCATAAAATAGTTTGGGGCTTTCTCATGTGCAACATCTACATGGAATAAAGCTAAAATGATCCATTAATTTTTTTTAAACAAACAAACAGCCATACACAAGGGTTATGTATACAAATATATGCAAGGATAGAAAACGTCATTATGATTTTTCTCGGAATTTACATATATATTCCCTTCTATACTTTCTCGTGTTAAGGTACTGCTACGGATGATGAAAAGGTCAATCTTTCTCACTTTACGCTGATACGTGTTCTAGGCACAGGTGGTAAGTATAACCACATTTCCCCAACTTTCTTTTGATTGTTAATACAAAAAAAATTTACATGATCACGATGTTTCTGACAGCTTACGGGAAAGTGTTTCTAGTACGTAAAAATGGTGGGGATGACGATAAGAAGTTGTACGCCATGAAGGTCTTGAAGAAAGACACAGTTGTTCAAAAGAAAAAAACAGCGGAGCATACGACAACCGAGCGTCAAGTAAGTAAATTTGAGCTGCCGATAAGTATGTAGCCGTACAATAACACTTTTTTCTCTCGGACCATGCAATTGCAATGAACATTCGTATAAACGTTCATATTGTATTTGACCGGTTTTTATTATACTCTACATTTCTCATAGTGCAAGGATATATAAAGTTTATGCGGATGTATGCAACATCCAGAAAGACTTGAAAGACCCACCTTTTGCTACGCCGATCGATTCAGAATCACTTTCGTAATATATCTGAGCGTTTCTGCCCCTCTATCCATCTTATTTTCTTGTGTTCAGTTGCAGACTGAAATTTTTAAAATATCCTAATGAGATTTGGTACACTGATGCGCTCTGGCCCAAGGAAGAAGGCTTGGGACGGACCACTTTTTCCACCACTACTTATTTAGCACATTTTTTTCTGACAAGTCGTTCTGGTGAGAAGGTGAAAAATTTTACATCACTCCTTATAAATTCTAAGGGCGTTGCTCACAATATGCATAAACTTTATTTTAAAAATTGTGTAAGGTCGTCAGCTAGATTATTGTGGGCGGATCACGCTATGATAAAGACCTCATAATAAACTAAACTCCAGAGATTTTCTCTTTGATTTTTGTTTTGCATTGACTTCTTCGCGGCAAAAAGTTAAGTACAATAGCTAATAGTTTCAGAAAGAGAGAGAAATTATTAAAATTTGATCTATGTTCATATTAAATTAATATTTATGCGCGGCTACAGCCGAGGAGGAGCGATTGTTACACGCCAACAGTGAATGAAATTTCCTCCATGTACTTATGCTCGTAGTTCTAGGTGAAGCATATTTAAAGTGTACGTATGTGCGTCAATCGTACTTGAAAAATGCGGTATAAAGCAATTCAAATTAAATGGTATAACCGAATATAAAAAACACAAACACCCTGACCGGTTTTACTTTACCTATATTTGGTTGTGTGTTGTGTTTGTATTTGTATTGTGCATCCCGTTTATTGGGTACATTTCGCTTGCATATAAGTAATAAATAAGTCATGTAGCGTATAAAAAATCTCACCAAAACTTGCTAAAAACGTAAAAAAAGACCAACGTGGTACCGATATTCAGGTGAAAGATAGAATATAGGAGAGTGATATTAAACATGTGTAGCAGGAACATATACAGAAAAAGAAGCTCATCTTTGACTTGATTCGTGACGTTTAGCATGCGATCAAGTTTTTGTATTCTCAATGCTGATCAATATTTTTGTATTCTCGCTCTCACAATCGCAAAAGTTGTGATGGGGAATTACAGTTTTTTACAGTTAGCTGCGCAACACATATTCAAAGAGATATGCAGTGTCAACGGCATATATCTTTCCAGAAATTAATATCCTTGGTTCTACTTGCTCTCGAATTACATAAACCTTCGAAATGTATTTGTAGAAGAGTATCTCACCTACCTCAAGGAACAGTCCTTGAGTTCAGGTGAAAGATTTTAATGAAAAGAGAGAGAGAGATTCTATTTTCGTACACTAGCTTGAAGGAGTAGATATTCACGATGACTTATCATACAGCAAATATAGTTTTCCACTGGCTTAAATAGTTTTAATTCTAGTTAAAAATAAATATTGTCAGCAGTTCGAAGATCAATTCTGAAACAACGCCGCAACGACAGATGTTCCTGCTCTAAAAGTCGAACTTACTTAAATATTATTCCTTCTTTTTCTTTGCTGTAGCTGCAACACCATCCGACCACTACGGAAGATCAGTCATATTTGCTTTCGACAAATCATACCATCTTGTTTAGCATTAAATCGATTTAACATAGAGTTCTTCTGCGATTGTCCTTTTAAGTGACCTTTCCTGATCATAACTTGGCAATATGAAAAAGTTAATAGAAAACGAATAACTTTTTTTTTGGAAAGGAAAGTTATCGTGATCAGTTTACTTGGAGCAGGCCTGTGGATGAAAGGCCGCTGTTTTGTATTGTAATATACGTTTATTTTGATAGTGGCCACAATCTGTCCTGGTGATTGTGTTGAATAGTTTTTGTTCGCTTGCTTGTCGTATATAAAGTGAAGTTATATCTTAAGATTTTTGAATATCTATTAAATGTCTTTTGCATGGAAGATTTCTTTTGCATAGAAAATTAGCTAAGCTGTGATCACTTATTGGATAAAAAATTTGTATATTTCTGTCGGTAGTATCGAATACAAAATCAAGTCAAATTTACTTCAAAATTATTCTACTAACTACTATTTCAGTTCAAAATAGCACTTCATACGTCCAAAGTTTTCGAATTTTAGATGAGCTTGGAGTTATGTCTCTTAAATAAACCTTAAGGTGTTAAAAGAACTTTAATTGAAAGATCTTTTTTTTTCCTCGTAAAATAGGTGCTCGAAGCTATACAACAAAGTCCGTTCCTCGTAGGCTTACATTATGCTTTTCAAACGGAATCGAAACTCTACTTAGTTTTAGGTAAGTGTTTAATATTTTTCTTATTTAGAATTGATTCAAAATGAAATTCTATTTAAAGATAACGTTAGTGGTGGTGAATTATTTACACATCTTTATAAAGCGGAACATTTCTCGGAAGCAACTGCTAAAATTTATATAGCCGAAGTGGTTTTGGCTCTGGAGCACCTGCACAAGCTGGGCATAATCTATCGAGACATAAAGTTAGAAAACATTTTGCTGGATGGTCAGGGGCACATTGTGTTAGCAGATTTTGGATTATCGAAGATATTTTCGTCAGAGTCTGATCATAGGGCGCACAGTTTTTGCGGTACTCTGGAATATATGGCTCCGGAAATAATACGAGCTGGCCCTGGTGGCAACGATCTTGCTGTGGATTGGTGGTCAGTTGGAGTGCTTACCTACGAATTATCAACTGGGGCTTCGCCCCATTATACTCATAGGCGAGAAGAAAGGCAATCATATCAACATCGCTGCCATGAACGTCAAACGGCAATATCATCATTTGTCTCTACAACGTCTTACTGAAAACGTTGTAAGGAAGCGTTTCGCTTCCTTACGGAATACAGGTCCGTCCGCCTAAAACGTTTACCCGCAGCCATCAACTTGGCAGTGTGATTTGTCCGTGCACGTCTTCCTACTGATACATGAGCAGCCTCCTCCCGCATAAACTGTATAAACATACACGAGCATAGAAATATGTAGGAAAAAAAACGTATAAATGCCTATAGGCCATGCAAAACATATACACACGTATAAACACATATGTATAAAAATGTATAAGAACATACGATCATGTATAAACTGTATAAACAAACTCGACCAGCTAAAAATGTATTAAAATGTATAAAAATGTATAGGCTAGGCAAAATGTACAGGAATGTAGGAACGCGCATGCAAAAATGTATAAACACACACGCATAAACATGTATAAACACATAGGACCATATAAACAGAAAAATGAGCAAACTCTACATAAAATCTATAAAACTGTAGAAACGCATTCAAAGTATTCGCAGGTAAGGAGACGCGTAATGTACACATAGAATAGAAACATAAAGGGGGAAAAAACCGTGTCGAAGAAAAATATTGTAAGCATAGCGAGTCTAGCACTCACATACCTAACGGGCAACAAAACCCGCGATTTGGTACCTGGATCAACACTACACAAATGGATATTGAGCAGGGCAATAGAACAAGCAGAAGGTTACGCATATGAACAAGCATAGCAATAAGATAGACATAAGTTGGCACGTAAGAGAGTATTAATGCTAAATTATATATGAGTAATTTCAAGCAAGTCGGAACTGTCTGTCTAAACTAAGCAAACGTATAAGTACATTATCTCAATTCACATGTAAACGCACACAGCCTAGTACATATATGTAATGAAACAAGTGAGCGCGACTTCGACTACAAAAGCGCGTTGCATCACACGAAATCTTTCAATTTTGTCATAGCCGCCTAAGGTAAGTGTTCACGGACAAGTTGACCTTTAAGAGTAGTTTTTCTGATTTTACGCATAGGGGATGTGCTGGCTAGCTGTTAGCCGCCATCCCTGAAAGACTTTTTAGGACTACTGACTTTACGGGTAGGGGATGTGCTGCTTAGCTGTTAGTCGCCATCCCTGAAGGACTGCGGCACATCTTTTTCCTATTCCTACATACGAATAGCCGACCAGAGACAAACCGTTGGCCCTGGGAGCCAAGGTAGCTATGACAGAAGCAACGTATCCGTTTTTTGTAATAATCCGCAAAATCGCTAACCACGTGTGCGTCAAAGCGGTTATAAAAGCTACACCAGAAAGTCGGGTCACCTCGCTGGTTTCCTCCTATCCCTCTACAAATCGCTTGTAATCTCTTATACAAAAAAAAGCAACATAAGGCCTTACCCGAAGGTCCAAAACATTTTGTTTTCTTATAAATTGTCTTGGAAGGAGTCCTGGAGTGGCTGTAGTTACCCTGCCCAAGAAGACTCGTTACAACGTTATTTCTATTAATAAAACGTGGACAAAATGTGATGCGATGGATGTTACGCAATAAACGCCTTGATGTGAATCAATACCGCCAGTTCAGGTAGTTTCATCCAGAATCCATACCCGTCCTTGAAGATTTTTGTGGATATGATCAAAATGTAGCTTCCTATTATAATTCCGATACTCTATTCAACTAAACAAACAAAATTGAGGAATTATAAGCCCACACTAGCGGAAAAAATTGTTGAGTAAATACATATATAGACCTACCACTAGTAAAGTATTTATTCATAATTCAAAGCAAGAATTATGTATATTATATTTGTGCGACTCGTGCAAATGAGAATGGCCACACTCCGTAACTAGAAATTAAGAGTTATAGATGGTTGAATGATATTTTAGTTGCACAATCAGTTTTGTTTTGACCAAAAAATGCGTGCATTTAAATAGATAATCTACGTTTATGCAGGTAAATAGACGTTTTGATTGATTTTGGGTCCGCATACGTAATTTGATAGAGTTTTGCAAAAACGTAAACACGTTGCACTCAAAAGAATACAGGGGGCATCAATTCTTCTTTACTAAATTGCATAACGTATATACCGATTAGGAGCCGCAACAAATCCAGTATTAAGGAATATTAACGCTAGATTTGCGGACGTTTTGTATATAATTATTGTTACTGAAACCAACCAATTTGGCGGGTAATTTTTGGGAAACGTCACTTTCGCAAAAATAAACATAGACGACTGAAATTTTGGTACACACATTGTTTGACCGATTGAAACATGTAGTTAAAAAATAGGCGTGAATCATGCGAACGTACTCATCTGCTTTGTACATGTAGCCATTTTTTGTTCAACATATTAAAGTACAAAACATCACTGAAAATATTTCCTATAAGCAGAATTCGAATTTGTTTAATTTATTTGCAAGATGTTTATATATAGATTCATTAGGTGTTCACTAAAATATTTTGCGTTTCTTAATGTAGACGGAGTAGACTTCCACATCCAACTACATCGTAATTCTAAATATTTAACAAAGCGTGTACAGAGCTCTGTTAAGAGATATGGTAGCGGTCTTTGATAGATAAATTCGAATTTATCTTCACACCCTTCTAGAAGCTATTAAGAAGCCTCTTTTTATATCCCGAACTTTTCCAAAAATGCACCTGTAACAATATGTATATTTTGATTTACGTTGTTGACATACATACAAAGTCAATTGTCACTCCGCCTGATTATTTAATAACATTTTACTTGCTTCCTTTTTCGGTTTGTTTCGTAGAATGGACTAGGCCTGTTGGGGATAAAATCAATATATCTCGTAGAGCAATGACTTTTTATTATTCGTTGATCCTTTGCTCTTGATTAATGATAGCGACTGTACGCGATGGTGTATGAAAAGATTCACGCTACAGAATTGATTACAAGCTTTGACAAATGAAGAGTATTAATTAGACAATTAGAGTAAAAGAAAAAAAAAATTAATTGTTGTCAATTTGAAACGTCTGTGTTAGTTTAGCTGTTTGTAAATAAATAATTTATTTTGACTTTAATTTCCAGCTGTTTTCTCTCATAAATGCAACTCTAAGCTGCCAATGCAACAAAACCACGAATTTTTAGCCTATGTCTGATTTAACAGCATTTCTCACACCTATTGTGCATATAGCAAGCAAACTCGAAAATGAGATCCCGAGAACGCCACATATAACAGGTGGCTTTTCTTTGAAAGAGCGCTTATGATAGATGTCCTTGCTAAATTAGCGGTTTGCGGTGCTTTCCGCATAACGGTTCACACGAAAAGTATGTCTTAACGTCCACATATCGCGCAATTTTTAGTACGTTACCATAAAAATTTTTTTACATAGAAAAAGCTATTTAGGGTATTTGATGGTCGGCCATGAGTCGACTATAATGTTTTTACTTTCATAGAATTAACTTTAGTGTCTCTCAGTTGACAAAGATAATATCTTTCAATTCTTTGCGTTTAAAATTTGGGATCAAACAGTTATCTGATGGATAACCGATTGGCATTAGTACCAAAAGTTTTTCATTTATAGGCCTTTTTAATAGGCGACATAAAGCGGCTCCACAGTTAAGGGGTGTTGTTACCAACGAACTAACACCTGCAGCTTGCAGAGCGCACAATAATATTCCTACAGCAATCGAGACTGAGATTTCATTGTAATAATGTTGTTTACGCTTTCCTGACTTAGTAAAACCATAAACTTGTTTAAAGACGAGGATAAGGTAAGGAGCATCTGTTAAATACGACTTAACATGATTCGTTTTTAAAGGACGTAAATCACTTCTCCATTGTTTACTCATTCTCTGCGCATAATTAATCTCTTCTTCCCTTTCGACAATATGGCGTATTCGATGTTTGAAGTCTTTATTACTAATCACGCAGAAAGTCCAAGGTTCAGTATGTGCGCCACTTGGGGCACAGCCGGCAGCAAGAATACAGTTTTCAATAACATCAAAAGCCGGGATGGGATGCGGCTTAAATGCACGGACGCTATGTCTATTATTAGCCATTTCATAAAACTGCTTAGAACCGCCCGGTAAGGTTATTGTGGCGCCAAAATAAGGCACATGTTCTACTTCTGGTAAAGCGGAAAGGTATTCTTCGCAATCGCCTTCTTTGATGAAAAGTATGGAAATACAGAAAATGGATATATTTCTCAAAAAACTTAAGTACTCACCTTTGCTATTATTTGTCAAATCGCTCACAAATTCTTCATTATTGTGTCCCCACAAGTATTTAGCAACATCAAACTTAGCTACCAGGCACCTTAACAAAACTGCTACACATGTTACCAATAATATTGAAAACCAATTACTCAGAAAAATGGATTTTCCGAAAAATTCATTGGTCGTCATCGCAAAATTAACAAAAATCTTCCAAATTTCTTACAGAAACTAAAGTTTAACATAATTTCGTAATCTACGTCTAAAATGCAAATATATGTGTCCTCCATTCTTATCAGTAATTCATTCTGTAGCAATATACTGAATTATCTTATTATCTCTCATTTAATTTGCGTGAAAATAGACTTGTACACATATATATAGTGTAGAAGTATTCAGCAGTTGACTTCCCACAACTGAACATGAATCAAAGGCAGGCCAATGTTGCCACCACATCTCATTTTATTAACTTCTAGTTTACATAAACGATATTTGTGTTATCGAATTTTGTCAAATGCATAAGATGTTTGCTTCTATCCGTGAAAACAACTCGTTGATATATTGAATTTCGCAAAAAAAAAAAAAAAAGTAGGCGAGAAAATCATAACAAATTTTACTTAAACGAAAGCAAATATATTTAAAACAAAACCAGGGCTGCACAAACGATATGATAATTTAAATAAAGCTGTAGTGGCCTAATCTCATCAGTTGATTATAATCCGTGCTAATCAGCTTCATTTTTTGGATTCGATTAAGGCTACCATTCGTCCGTCGCTATGGATGAAGTTTTTTCGCTACACTCTGAAAAAATTGATCTGTATGATGGTAAGCGCTATCCAACTTCTACTTGGAAGGAAAATCTGATGATAAGGTATAATTTTAATCATCTGCGTCAGATGATTCTTCTAAAATTTTTTTAATAGCTTGCTCGTGTTGTTTTGGACTGACTTTATGCAAGAGTATTTCTTTTAATTTTTCCACATTTTTTTTCACTTCCTCTATCTTAGCTTCCAATTGTTTATTTGAGATTCTCAATTTTTCGACATTCTCCTTGCGTCTACGTGCCATCTGTTTTGATTTTTCTCTCGTCTTTTTCACTGCCTATAAAATATCAAATACCAAAAGATCCAAATTATTTTATATAAATTTAGATAAGAAAATACTTAACTAACATCATTATTTCTTTTTCGTTTTAATTTATATGCGACTTCTTTGTCACTGACGTCGAAATTTGGACTACTTGATGTTCCAGTTCTTCTTCTGGCTGGCATATTATCAGTTATCATTTTACTCTGCATATAACTGTGATATCTATGTATTTACTACAATTGCGTACAGCGTTCCGTAAATCTTATCCTATTTCCGAACTCGGCTGGAAAGCTTGATAGCAAATATCTATATTTGTTGTGAAATTGTAAAAAAATGCTTATGAAAATATATATATTTTTTTTAGAGTATTGCCATATGACAATTTCGCTTGCTAATAAAGGAATTTAACATAAACTTTTATACGTATAATGCATATCTTCTTTAATAAAATTTATTTAAATTGGGACATTGCGAATGGGCAACAACATTAATTGTATTGTATGTCAATATTTATTCAAAAATTAAATCTATTTTTACTTTATTACGTTTTTTTGTTTGCTGAGAAGATTTCGATGTATGGCTTTCATATAATGGCGTATATCTACAGTAATACATATATACATATAATTTATTTTTTAGTAAATTCACAGCCTTAAGAATATTTTGGTCAATTCGAATTATTTAATGAATTTTTTCTTAAATTTTTGATTTCATTTAGTTATTGGTTATTTTAATATTTGTTGGTGTTGTAATTACCAACTTTTTTTTCTAGATGAGTTATACGCTGAAGTTGGTTGTGTTTTTACCAACCACAGCATAAAAACATACGGAAGTTAAAATTTTGTTAAATTAATTTTTTGTATTGTTGTTTTTCGTATATTTGTTGTTCACATATACAATTGTCTTTATTTCTGGTTCTAAATCCATATTTTTTGTTTACATTTTCCGATAAGATAATATGGTAACGCGGCTTTGCATTGAGCTTACCACTCGGGACTTTTTAACCCGAAAATAGAAATAACACAACATTGGGTTTTAGGGATGCAAAAAGTAGTTTTAAAAAAGAAAGGTTTTTACATATAGATGTTCTTTTTCTTATATGCGAAGAAAATATAAATGATATTTTCTACTTCTAATTTCAATAATATTAGTGCAGGATCCACCATTTTGTTCGAAATTTTGCAATTTGTATTCTTACTAACAGAAAAAGCAATCAATAACAATTAATAATTTTTTGCTCTTTTATGATAAATAAATACACTGTTTCAGATGTGCTCTCTGTTTACTTTTCATTCTAATCTTTTTGAATAGAGTGCGTTGTATAAATTACATTCATTATTAAAATAATAGGCCGGTTGGGTTTTGGACGCATAATTTTCATTGCAGAGTAACTACTTTATTTTTTTCGTATTTTATATTTGGAAATGGCGTCTCCAACTTCTAAATCGCCTGATCAATCGGATAAAAACCGGAAATACGATAGACAACTTAGGTTTGTTCAGCAATTTAATGATTAGTCAAAAGTATACAAATTATTTTTAGGCTGTGGGGTGAACATGGTCAAAATATGCTAGAAAATGCCAACATTTGCTTGATCAATGCCAATGGATTGGGATGTGAGATTCTTAAAGGAATAATTTTACCAGGAATTGGAGCGTTCACAATTGTCGATGGAAGCAAAGTTGTCGAGGACGATTTGGGTCCAAAGTAAATAATGTAAAATTATAAATTGCGCTATTTAAATAACCCATTTACTTTCTGCAGTTTCTTCTTGGAGACTGGTAGCATTGGAAAACCTAAGGCAACAATTTGCATGCAATTTTTGCAAGAACTAAATACCGACGTCAAAGGTGATTCTGTTGAGGAGAGTGTAGAATATATATTGGAAAATCGACCAACCTTCCTTGAAAATTTCGATGTGGTGGTGGCATCTAATTTGAATGAGCAATCTCTTTTGAATTTATCTGATTTTTTATGGCGAGCAGATATACCATTTATATATTGTCGTTCGTTAGGCATGTTGGGATCAATACGTATACAAATACGAGAGCATTGCGTGATTGAAAGTCATTCTGATAACCGTCAAAACGATTTGCGATTGGAGCATCCATTTCCTAGTTTAAAAGAGCACCTTGAGGTTTTTCATACATTGCTGCACTGTTGAACGCCTAAGTAAAGTTTTTTTTTTGTTTTCTTCCTTCAGAAAACTGAAGTGACAACTAAAGTTCCGTGGCTTTTTGTCCTATTTAAGTATTTGCAAAAGTGGAAAGCTGAGAACAGCAATCGTGCACCTTGCAATTACAAAGAAAAGTCCGTGTTACGAGACATGGTAAAGGCAGGTAACTGGCGTAACATAAATATTGTAAATACAAATCGTAATAATATGTATCTATATACATAGAAATGTCTTCAAATGAAGAAAATTTTGAAGAAGCCATTAAAGCCGTGAATACTGCTTTTGGTGGGGGAAATGTTTCACCAGAATTGGCAAAAATTTTTGAAGATGACGCTTGTGAGAACTTAAACAAGAAGGTTAACTTTATATTTGGGAAATAAGCTGGTTCAGCTCGATCAAAGTATTTTTCGTTTAGAGCAAACCGTTTTGGATAATGATGAAGGCCATGAAAGACTTTGTTCAAAATGAAAACAACGGACAACTTCCTCTTTCTGGTGTTCTACCAGATATGACCGCTGACACGAATTCATATATAAATCTTCAAAATATTTACCGTCAGCAAGCATTGCACGACGCCGATCAGGTTTATCGGCGTTGTCAATCTTTGGTTAAGGAACTCGGCTTGCAAAGTGACACTGTATTAGAAAGAGATGTTCGGCTAGTTTGCCGCGAAGCGGCTGGTATTACAATTATTAGAGGATCGAAAATTGCCGATGAATATAAAAGGAACTTTAACTCTTTATGCGCCGTCGATGATATGGAATTTAAAGGGACTTTAATGGAATATTATATTGCCCTCAGAACTTACGAGCGTTTTCTTTGTGAATGTGGAAATATCCCAGGAGAGTATTATGTGGAGAACGATACAGCTCGTTTTAAGTCAGTGGCTAGTAAAATTTTCATGGATGGGGGAATGTCTTCGGCCAATCTAAGTGATGACATCATTCATGAGATTTGTCATTACGGTGGGTCCGAGTTGCATTCAACGTCGGCTTTCATTGGTAAATCGATTGATAGCATGTGTGCAGACCAATATAAATGTATACTGTGAACTTTTTTAATTTTTCAGGCGGATGTGCTGCCCAAGAAGTTATTAAAATTATAACCAAACAGTACAAACCAATTGACAATACTTTCCTGTTTAATGGCATTACCACAGAATCTATCTCCCTTAAACTGTAAAAGCTTTGATTTCATTCTAAATTGTATGTATAGTGTGAGAGTATAATTGAAAAACAATTTTAAACCTCAGAAAATTCAAAATTTGCTCTTATGATTTTTACATTTTTTGTAGTAAAAATGCTTTTATGTGTTTTTTTAATTTTTATGCCGTGAAAGCTTAAGGAAGGCTTCGCTAATTTGGCGAAGAATTAGTGATCGATATGAGTGAAAACGAACAAATGTCAGAAGAAGCATTTATTTTGTATGGCAAGTCTGTAAACCAGGACATTACAGTTTGAAGGCGTAGTTGGTGAGTGGATAAATAGTACCCACCTACGCTTTAAGAAAGTTTCTATATGCAATTGGAAAGGAAGCGTAGGCGACCAACCCCGTCCACTGGGTTTGGTGGTATTTTCTACTTGTCAGTAATGGGCAACTATGTTAGACTTCAATAACTGCTGAACAATTTTCTTCTTTTCATTTATCTGCCTATATTTTATTGAGACGCCCCTTGACATAGGGAATGTTACCAGTATGCGGGCTAGTTGTTAATGATAATTCGTGGACTCGTCTGCGGTTTCTTTCAAGAATGATAATGAAACTTGCTCCCAGTCCACCTCCAAGCGCCAGTAATTCCTACCAATGATTTGCGGTCTTCCGAATTTTAAAGATTAATACCTGAGATTAAACAATTTATCCGTCCGATGGTCCCTCTGGATTTCGTATTAATAAATTCGAAAAAAAAAAAAAAAAATTGCGCTAATTCTCGGTTTGATCAAGAGTCTAGTACTTCGAGTTAATCCTCTGGTATGCCGTATTTATTTAAAATAGGATGTTGATTTTTTACAGTATAATATACGACGTAACCCATCATTTTTAAATTTTTCCTTGAACTCAAATAACATTAACTTTTGCATCTGCAAGTGAAGTTTTTCTGAAAGATGACAATTGCCGCGATGACAGTGGTGATGACCACGGCGGTGTTAATATAGTATCAGTTAAGAAATGTAGCAATTTCAGACGCACTCTGCCCTAGAATTCTGCTGTCGACATTATCATCATCAAAATCTTGAATCTTAAAGAAATCTTTTTACAGCATCATGCTACTTTCCAGTCACCGTTAGTGCACGAACTTTTCACTATGAAATTTAGAGATTATGTAACTTTCTCTGATGGTGAACAAAATGTAAATTTAGCTGGAGCAAGATACTCGTAAATGTCATCAATGCCAGCAGATTTAATTTAATCGAAGTGGTCGCACGGGGAGCACAATCTTGGATCTAATTTTCTCTAATTCGTCTATTTTGTCATTCAACTGGACTACTACAAGTATCTCAGTTGGAAAAGGTTTGCACTGCCCCATTTTATTTCAAAGTTGAAGCAATTCTGTCTAAGAAATAGAGAATTTTATTTCACACAAATTCCTAATGGATCGTCTGTCTAAAGTTGACCTCTCACATCTAATTTATCGTCAATTCGAAGTATTTTTCAATCTGAGATCAAGTCTGTTAGAACCAACTTTTCTAATATTGATTCCTTCTCACGTAAACCTTGGTGAAACTCTTCCCTGTTAATACTCTGTCGCATATATCAAGGGGCAAGGAAAAAAATGGGTAAATACGTTTATCCAGACAGTGATATTGAATATATGAAGGTACTGAAGGGACGTAGGTATGCAGTTAGAAGGGCCAAAAGGGTGCACACAAAACTCGCATGATTAAAGAGTTGTGTGGCAATAACAATGCTGTATGGGAACGACCATGATAATAAAAGATACCTAGTTATGCATTAATCTGGATGTAACATAATCAAAGATATCGATGACAGTCAATCAGGTAAGCTGCCCAAAACAGCTTCGACAGTGTACAAAGCATTAGTCACGTCTAAGATCCAATTTGCACATTCTACATCTTGTTAATTTCCAAAAAAATGTGTGAGAAACGATGTAAATATTTGAAAATAGAATATTAAAACGTTATACTGGACAAACCCCTTTAACTCCTGAATATTATTTCTGGTGAATGGCCCGGGTCCGGAAGAGCTGCTTTTAGTATTGCTAAGGAACTAAACAAGATAATGAATCCGTCCTTTTTATTATCAAAATCCCCGTCATACTTTTTAAAAGATAAATTCAATCCATCTCTAAAATTTTGTTATTAATATATATAAAGTCTTCATGAGCATCCTTGAGTCGATCTCTACTACGAAGCACAATTTCAACGTATATTGTATGAGGATCTTATGTCAAGAAGATCTTCTTCTTTATTACAACAACGGCTATGATATATACTCCGCTCAATGTTCCATCTCTAGCTTCTCGGAAGTGAAGCATCTATCTAAAATAGTACACAAAGTCAGCGTCACGAAGAAAGTTTCCTCGACTTTTATTGAATTGCTTGCTATCAGACATAGTGTTGGTGAACTGTCATAAAAAATTAGTCGTTTTTGCTGATAATAAGTCAACGCTGCTTCGAATAAGTAAAAAAGATGCAGATAATTAATTAATATTTGTAGTATTTGATACGCACTGGATGCTATATGAATCTTAAGTGGATGACTATCACCTTCTTCGTATACCTGGTCACTGCGGCTTTTTTAAAATGAAAAAGCTACTTTTTATGCAAAAGGACTTGATGGGGCAATTTCATCCATCAAATATACTCCCAACGAAGCAATACGTGCAGTTCGTAACCACATCTTTCAACAGCTAAATGATGAGTTTAAAGAGATTGCGCGGGACAAATCCAATCGCCTTTTCTATAAACTAAGTCGCATATTTATTTTGAAACCTCTATCAGTGGAAAAAATTCATTATAGACTTATGAGTGGCCACACTTATGATAAACCATATTTAAAAAAATTCGTACTACACCATGTGATATTTGTGAGGTTTGTAATATTAGCGGCTCTGCTGAACATCTATGTAATTTTCAGATGTTGCAGGCTAGACGCTATTAGAAGTTCTTTTGGCCTATTCAAATTACATGGTATCTTCTTTGATCTCTTGGCAGCGAAAAATGGGCACCATCTCAGGGAACTAACTTACTTTATTAGAGAATTGAATTTATCTTTTTAATTCATGGCAATATTTCTCTACAACATTGTTTTTTTTCAGGCAAAGTTTGCAACACTATTCTTACATCCCTTTGAACAACTCAATAATCTACAATTACACTTAACATATTGGCCGTAGCAGCCGCAGTCTTTTTGTTTTCTATTTATATTTCTTTCATATAATTACTACTGTTATCTCCACTCAACAACCCAAAAAAAGAAAAAAAATTACTACTCTTTGTTATCTGGACATATAAGCCACAAGTCTCATTGGCTTAGTCCATCCTAACTCAATATACAAGCAAAAAATATTGGAAATATATATTAAAATCTTTAGCTAACTTTTGTAAATTCATATCAAATCATGATTGCTGATTTAATTTAAATGGATCGTTTATTACGTTTGGGCGGTGCTATGCCGCAAGCACCGCAACCAACAGACGCTCCTGTCGTAGACACCGCTGAACAGGTTTATATCTCATCACTGGCTTTATTAAAAATGCTTAAACATGGTCGAGCCGGAGTACCTATGGAAGTGATGGGTTTAATGTTGGGTGAGTTTGTCGATGATTATACCGTGCGAGTTATAGATGTATTCGCTATGCCTCAGACTGGCACTGGAGTCTCAGTGGAAGCAGTAGATCCCGTGTTCCAGGCAAAAATGTTGGATATGTTAAGACAAACGGGACGGCCTGAAATGGTAGTAGGTTGGTATCATTCACATCCCGGCTTCGGTTGTTGGTTGTCCGGAGTAGATATTAACACACAACAGTCATTCGAGGCACTCTCCGAAAGAGCTGTGGCTGTCGTCGTTGATCCTATACAGTCCGTTAAGGGTAAAGTGGTTATTGATGCATTTCGTCTAATCAATCCCAATATGATGGTATTGGGTCAAGAACCTCGTCAAACTACTTCTAATTTGGGACACCTGCAAAAACCTTCCGTACAGGCTTTAATACACGGCCTGAATCGCCATTACTATTCAATTAGTATTAATTATCGGAAAAATAAATTGGAGCAAAAAATGTTATTAAATTTGCACAAAAAATCATGGAAAGACGGTCTTACACTGGCCGATTATAATGAGCATTGCACCGTCAATGAGAATACGGTACAAGAAATTTTTGAATTGGCTAAAAATTATAATAAGGTAATGTGTTAAATATGTTATATTATGGGCAGAAGAATTTATATAAATAATACCTATGTTACATTTAAAGGCTCTAGAAGATGAGGAAAAAATGACTCCTGAACAGTTGGCTATCAAAAATGTTGGTAAACAGGATCCCAAGCGGCATTTAGAAGAGAAAGTTGATAAAGTTATGCAAAATAACATTGTTCAATGTTTAGGTGCTATGCTGGATACTATTGTTTTTAAATGAGAAAATTATAAGAGAGCAACACAGAAAAGCCTTTTTATTATTATTAAAGGCGCTATAATATCGGGCATTTATTTTTCAATTGTCTCATACTCATGTCATGTTTCTTTAAGATTTCATATAAACTTTAATGGTTTCTACATAATAATATGAAAACCAAAAAAAAAATAAATTGTGAAAAAAACACATAACATTAATTTTATAATTTGAAAAAATTCCATCTTTTCATAAACCGTCTTCTTGGCAAACTAGATTAACTAGTTGGCTGACATCTTATTATCAACAAATATTTATTTGATGTGCTGGATTTAAACCCCTCTTTTTTTTTAACAATTTTTTTTTTTTCACAAATCATTACCTACCTATTTCACTCTGGCTTAAACAAGAATGATATAAGTAGATGTGCAAGAATGGGTAAGTTCAACAATGCATTATAATAGAATAAAAAGATAGAAAAAGTGAGTAACTTTTGATTATTTTGAAATAGTTCAATTTTGACTTAATTATTGGTAATTAAATCTTTTTTTTTGTTGATTTGATTATTAAAATTGAATTAAATTTTCTTTAATTAAAAATTATAAATAGTTTTTTTTTAAATTCATATGTTTTATTGATACGATAAAATACAACTCTAAGAAATAATACTGTGACAACCAGCTGGTCATTCACGTCTTGATAGTTTTATTTGCAATTGAAATTATTGAAATTTTTGGTATTTATTGAAGTGCAAGCAAAGGGGAAGCTGTGGTCACCCGGTCTCTTCACATATATATTATAATTTTACACACTTTTGATTTTGAGAGATGGTTGTTGGGTACGTAGTACAAATAGTTCCATTAAAAAATGGAAAATGGACTGATAACTTACGTAATTTATTTTCATTTAAAATACACATCTATTTCAGATTTCTTATACGCACAGGCGTAGTTATTGGCGCCGTATATTATACCAAGAAGACCGGTGTTTGGGGTAGTCCAGAGGAGACTGAACAATTGTATAATGATATTAAAGATCAACTACGTCCGCATGTTAATCGTTTAGAGCGACACTTACCGTTTGAAGTTCCTTCCTTGCCTAGAACTGAAGAATTTAGCTTTTTGGCCAAGCACTACTATAATCAAAGCGTCAAAAATACATTCCATTTTATTGAAATGTTGCCTTGCTACACTGGCCAATTAATGAAAAAGGCAAAGGATACATTTGAAAATTTCTCTCAGCCGCCTACATCTCAGTAATTTCAATGTATGTATATATATGCATTTATATATATGTAACATGTAATATATCAATGTTTGTACGAATGTACATTCATATGTATGCATATATATATATATATGTGGATACTTATCCATTACTGGCAATTCTTGCAACAAATGCAATCTCCCAGAACTTTTATACATCCAATTTTGGGAGGAGAAACTATTTTGATCTAAATTCTTCAATCAGTCGAGAACACAATGCAACAATTAAAAAAAAAAAATTAAATAATTCAGATATTGGTTACGCGGATTCACAATAAGTTCGATAAGTTCCATCGTTCTTTTATCTACTCTGGTTGCAGCTTTTCTTGCTTGCTAATTTAAAAGTTTGTTAAAAACCTTAGATGTAATTGCATATTGTTTGTGTTCATGTAATGTAAATGTATACATAAAAAAGAAAGCACAAGTTACGTCGATGTGTATATAATAGATCCATGTTATTTGTGCTTAATAAATATTCTCGACAAATTCAAATTGACATTTGTCATCGAATAATTGAAGAAAATTAAAAAATCTTTGTAACCCGGATACTTGAGGTATTATTTAAAGCAGTTTTGCGACTATCGAGAAAATGAAATTTTCTATGTGGCCTTTTAAAGAGGATTTGTGCGAAGAGTTCTTAGTGAAGAAAAAAAATATACACCCAGAGTGAAAAAGCAAAAGGTGTTTTTAAAAGTTAGCGCTTCTTTTTATAAAATAAGGTTTCATAATTAATGTCTCTTCATTATCTTTTTAGAAGCTAGTTGCTGTGCCATCAAAAAGTTGATGCAGAAAATTCTGCTTTTTAGAAGCTAATCTTGTAACACCCTGTTGACGTATACAATGCTCGTGTGTACATCAGAATCATGCTCGAGTTTCAAATCAGTCACACTGAACCGAAATCCACTTCTTCGCGTCGTATGTGACGGTCGTGTTTTTCGAAATAGCTGTTGTTATATCCGATTATCAAACCTTCTGATTGACACCACTTTTCTGGTCCAAAAGTCATTTTTTTGACATTCTCTAACAATACTTTTAATTTGGTAGCAGATACCCCAAAGTAACAAAAATATAATTTGTTGTTGCAATATGCAAATCGCCGCCACACGACAAGTCGTCAAAGTTTAAATTGTTTAATGCGTTTGTAATCAGAATTACGTTCATATTATTATAGTGGCTATTCTAAATGCTTGATCCCGCCGAGCACACAACGTGCCAAAAGAGAGTTAATACGTGGAACAAAGGTGATGGCAACTACATCAGTTTTATAATACAAAATACACAAAACTTTACTGCTATAAAAAATAAAATCCCTTTTTTCAGAAGGCTTTTAAGTTTTTATACCCAACACCATTGGTGATGCAAGATATATTAAGTTTGTGCGGACGTATGCAACGCCGAGAAAGGCTTGAGATAGATCCGCATTTGACTGTAATGATCGATTCAGAATCATGTTCTGGGTCGATCTAAGCCGAATGTGTGTCCATGTATTCAATTTACAGGTCGCAATTTTTTCGATATTTTGATGAGCATGTAGAAGTACTTAGACATACCCACGTTGTATTATACAGAACGATTCACAATCACCTTCCGCATCGATCTAAACTTGATTATCCGTCCGTTCATCTTATTTTCTTGTGTTCAACTTACAAGACCAGAATTATGAGATATTTCGATGAAATCTGGTACGCAGGCATATTTTGTGCCAAGGAAGAACGGTGCTGAAAATGGTTCCGAACGGAATACTTCCCATATAATACATCATTATTTTGAGAAGAAAGTTATATGAATAACAGTATGAGGCGAAGTGTAGATCGTGTCTTACTATAGTGTTTTTATCTGTTTCAATGGTTACAAAAATAATTATAACACGATTGCGATGAATAAATAAACATTTCAAATATTAAAAATCTGTGGTTAATGTAACGTATGCAGTATCAATTGCTTTTTATTTTCCCATCAGGATGGGGCAACTTTGTTAACATTCTTATAAACGAAGAGCTGATATTTCTTGCCTGCGAGTTAATCACGTAGCTTTCATTCACGACGAAGACCATAATTGGTCGCGATCACGTACGCTTTTCATGCCATTTTTATGTCAAAATTGAGTGGTGAGTTTTGATAAATTTAATATTAACTTTGATTAATTGAATATTTAAGGTCTAAAAAATTTGTTATGAAACTTACTTAAAAATCGAATGCGAAAAACGTTTAAACAAAGCCATTATTAACAACATAATGTGACGACAATCGATGACGAGTAACTACGACAATATGTTGCAGAAGGTAATTATCGTACCTTTAAAGCACTGTAAAATGCGGCACAGCTTTTCTCGTTTTGCACGTATATATATGCAAGTAAGACAAGAAGAAAAAACGCACAAGGGAAAATAAAGATAATTTATTGTGAATTTCGAAACTATTTATTTAGTTTATGTTCAATTTATATTAATTTAAATTTTTTTTAAGTTACACGACTTAAAATTGTATTCTATGGCGTATATTATTTTATAGGGATTGAAGAACGAGCAATAAATAAGATTTATTTTTAGTCTTAAAGATATTTTTTAACTCAAATCGTTTAAGCAATTTGTTTGTTTCATTCAACTGCCTCAGTGAAGTCCATTTCTATGCTTCTTCTTTTAAACTCCTTTTCTTAATTCTTTTTTGTGCCATTCTTTTCCCTAAAATTATTGTTTACATTTATACTAACTTCTTCCGTTTTTCCTTTTAATTCTCAAATCATATGTTTTTATTTACATTTTCATCGATTTCCCTATTTTTTCTTATCAAATATTAATGTAACCCAACGCGTCTTCTCACTGTGTTCACTGCTTGAGACTTTTTAACCCGAAAAACGAGAACCGCACGATTGTGTCAGTCCCTTAAATATCTTTTAGGTAAATTCCCACTTAAAATTATTGATAGCAATTGGTAACGCGCATTCAAAATAGATATAAAATTTTCAACTTGAAATCCCTGGTAACATAGCAAAATCAATAGGAGAATTTTTCGAGCTAGTCTGTGGACAAGAGAAAGGCGAAATTAGCCCAGTTAATTCAACAGCTTTTTGCAAAGTTAATTTCTTTCAAACATTTGAAATTTGTGTTTTTTCGCACCTATTCCTTCCGAGAAGAAATAGCGGTCCGAGTTGTCTAAATATCGTAATATTGTGCATTTAACAGAACCGTCGTCTGTGGTGGTGGTGTGCCAACGAATAAACGTGTTGAAATTACGCGAGGAGAAATGGTTAAAACTAAAAAGGGCAAGAAAGAGATAGTTCCAGCAAATACCGGAGTTTCATCTGGTGAAGAGATGTAAGTAAAGGAGATGAGTATTCAAAAGTAATAAAATTTTGTATATTCATTGGACAGGCCAGGCAAGGTTCGCCTTGCCTTGCTTTATTAGAGAAAGTGCTACGTTGTCAAACTAATTCCAGAAATATTTACTTGACGTGAATTTTGATTTGCATATACTAAATATAAATTTGGTAACATAATTATACGTGTGTCTTATAGGGAAAATGAACCCCAGGAAACAGTCACTGACTCCGGTGCTGAAGAAGCGGAAAATGTAAAAGCTAAAAATAAAAAGAACAAACAACAAAAGAAAAGTAAGAAACGTAATGATTCCATTGCGGAAGATAATGAAGACGTGGGAGGCATAACTGGCGACGTTAAGAAGCTCAACTTGAAATCCAAAGGAAACAAAAACAACCCGGTCCAGCAGGATAATATGGACAGCCAGTCTATAAATGAAGACGAATCAAACGTAGAGACTGATTCTCAGATGAGGAACAAAAAGAAAGACAAAATATTTAAGAAATCTGCGTTTGGATTGCTTATGGATATGGACAGTGAAGAAGATGACGTTGCCCAGGAAACTGCCAATAAGCTTGAAAATGAACCCGATGGGGAGGGGCTAAATGAAAAATCTAAAAAAAGTAGTGAAAAAGGAATAGCTAAGAAAAGCAAAAAAGCAATGGGAAAAACCGATGATTTGAAGACACTCAATCAAAATGTACTTCAAAATGCAACGGCGAAGAATTTAAAAGGAGGGCCGGTCGTTCCCACCACAACGTCTGCTACAAATGAACTCGAAAGTGAACCCGACGATGAGGGACAAAATGAAAAACCTAAAAAAGCCATCGAGAAAGGAATGGCTAAGAAAACGAAAAAAGGTAAGCGGAAGGGAAAAGGCGAGGAAGACGATGAAGACTTAGATAAAGTTCTGGCAGAACTTAAGGCGGAATGCAATGAAGAAGCGGCAGTCGCCCTCACAACAGCATCCGTCGTTTCTCCTGAAGACTGGATAGAAAATGAATTTGGCGTAGAAAAGCAGAAAAAAGGTAAAAAACAAATTAAGGAAAAAGAAGTGGAAGTAATGAACAAAGATGTTGCCAATGCTGATGTAGATGAAATTGAGATTACTACTGTTAAGACTGCCGCCGAGAAAAAGAAAGAAAAGAAGGAACGTCAGAAACGAGAAGCGGCTTTAGCCAAACAAAAAGCTGTCCAAGAAACTCAATCAAAACAGGAAGAAACTGAGGCCTTTGTTCCCTTAATACCAGAGGACACAGTCATATGTCAACCTAAAGAAGCTTATGTAGATCCCGGCAACGGTGGAGGCTTGGAAGATGAGGGCACAAAAAGTACTGGAAAAAATAAGAAAAAGACTAAGAAAGATAAAAAAGCAGAAGCCGAAGAAGAGAATAAAAAAGATATGAAGAAAAAGGGCATGTCATCGGCAATGGTAGCTGCAATGCAAGAACGATTGAAAAAAATCAAAGAGGAAGAGGAACGCCAGCGAAAAGTTGAGGAAGAACGTGTTCGGCAAGAAGAAGAACGCGAAAGATTGCGACTAGAAGCAGTTCGCTTAGAAGCGGAAAGGAAAGAGAAGAAAAAACAGAAGGAAGCTGAACGTAAGGCTCGTTTAAAAGCAGAAGGTAAACTACTTACTAAACGGCAAAAGGAGGATCGTGCCAGAGCACAAGCCATGTTAGAAGCCCTGAAGGCCCAAGGCGTTGAAATACCGGATCCCACAGAGAAGCGACCCACTCGACCAGGTAATTAAAAATGGAATTTAGTTAATCCAGCAAATTATTTTTATACCTTTACTTAGGGACCCGAATCCGTCCTAAAAAGAAGGGCTCACAAGCCAGTCAAGAGCAAAGTGGAGATGCCAATTCCGAAACAGCTTCGGCGGCCGCAGCAGCCAGTGCTCAGCAAACTAGTGAGAGAGAGGATACTGTTAAAGAATCATGGGATGCAACTGACACCGAAGATGAAGCTAATGATACATCCCAAACTACTTCAACCAACAACGAAGATAGATACTCAAATGGCGCTATTGCAACAGGTATTACAATATCAAATACTGGTAGCAATAACGAAGATTCGGAGGAAGATGACAGCGATTCCGAAAATGGACTCAAGTCTGAATCGGAACCAGAATTGGAATCTGAAGTTGAAGAAAGGGTTGATGCAATTAATGCCAACGATCCGGAGGAAAGACGTTTGCGAGCTGAACGTCGTATAATAAAACGTCAAGAAGATGCTGAAAAGAATCGCACAACCGAAGATCTTCGGGCAGCCGTTGTCTGTGTGCTTGGTCATGTAGATACCGGCAAAACTAAAATTTTAGATAAATTACGTCGCACGCATGTTCAAGATTCAGAGGCCGGAGGCATTACTCAACAAATTGGTGCAACCAATGTTCCCATTGATGCTATTAAAGAGCAAGCAAAAATTGTACGTGGTTCCACTGATTTTGATTTTAAGCTGCCTGGTCTTCTAATCATTGATACACCTGGTCATGAATCGTTTAGCAACTTACGCAATCGCGGTTCGTCTCTCTGCGATATTGCCATTTTGGTGGTTGATATAATGCACGGTCTAGAACCGCAAACCATTGAATCAATTAATTTATTAAAGCAAAAGAAATGCCCATTTATTGTAGCGCTAAATAAAATCGATCGTCTCTATGATTGGAAAGTATTGGCGCGACGTGATATACGGGATGCACTGAAGGAGCAAGAGCCTAATACCCAAGTAGAATTTAATCAGCGTGCCAAGAACGTTATTCTACAATTTGCCGAACAAGGATTGAATGCAGCTCTTTTTTATGAAAACAACGATCCTAAATCTTACATTTCATTGGTGCCTACAAGTGCCATTACTGGCGAAGGTATGGGCAATCTATTGTTCCTTATTATCGAATTCTGTCAAAAGATGTTGGCCAAAAGGTTGATGTACTCGGAGGAGCTGCAGGCGACAGTTTTAGAAGTGAAAGCCATACCGGGTCTCGGTACCACAATCGATACCATTCTGATCAACGGCAAGCTACGTGAAGGTCAAACTATGGTAGTAGCCGGTACTGACGGCCCGATTGTGACTCAGATACGTTCACTTTTAATGCCACAACCGTTAAGAGAGTTACGTGTCAAAAATGCTTACGTTGAGCATAAAGAGATTAAGGCAGCTCAGGGTGTTAAAATCGCAGCAAAGGATCTTGACAAGGCCATTGCTGGTATTAATTTATTGGTCGCACATAAGCCTGACGAAATTGAAATATGCAAGTAAGTGTCTGTGCCTGTCTCTCTATTTCACAATTCATTTGATCTTTGTACTATTCCTACTCAGGGAAGAGGTCGCACGTGAGCTTAAAAGCGCTTTAAGTCACATTAAGTTGGCACAAATTGGAGTTTATGTACAAGCTTCGACATTGGGATCATTGGAGGCTCTGTTAGAATTTCTTCGTGGTTCTAAAATACCGGTAAGTACGATTAATGTTTTTTTGTTTACAAATAGTCTTAATGGGTTTTTAATACTGAGTGTGACTGTTTTTCAACTAATGAAAAATTCGCTTGACAGACCGGCGTGTATGTAATTCAAATCAATGTGTCAGTGTAAACGAGTTTAGTCGCATTTATCTGCATGTCTTATATTTGAATCTTCAATATAGGAGAAATTAAGATAAAGAATCGAACTTTGTCTCCTTACCGCGGATGACTTCGAAATCTGAGTTGAACAATAACGCTCTGGTTGTGCGTGTAAAAATTAAATTATTTCGTAACAAAAAAATATGTTATCGAAATATTTGCTTAAAATCACATAAATAAAAGAAAGCTATACCCGACTTGCATATATTGCGGATTCCTCCGAAATGACGAAATAATTTTTATCTAGTTGTTACAAGCGAAAGAAAGAAAGTAAATATGTAAAGCGAGTTAATGACCGAAAGCACGAAATAATGAAAACTAATATTTATTTATTTATACATATAGATATAATCTTAATAATGCAAATATCTGAAAAATTTGATTCGAATACATATATATAATTGGCAACATGTTGTCTAATATTCCTTTAGGAATATGTTCTAAAAATTAAAAAAAAGGAAGAAATTTTATTCCTGTTTGCGTTTTTTTTTTTTTTTTTTTTTTGGATCTGTCTGGGATTAAGGCATCTTTTAGAAGGCATCTGATTTGCTATCTTTCTATTCATCGAAGATATGAAGCCATGGGCTTTAAATTTGGTAGAAACATTGGAAGTGCTTGTATGCTGTGGTGGTGTTGAAAATGATCCAAATTGGTCGAAGCACACGGCTACAGTACCTCGTAAACTTAGAACACTTCTGCCTTTCTAATGGAATAAAAAATTGGTTTTTTATCGATTACTCATAAACTACATCAAATAAATCTGCGAAAGTTTAGATGTATATTCTTTCGGCTAGGCTGTAGTACCTGTACAAAAATGGAAAAAGTTGAGCACGCCTACCCACTGTTATAGGTGGAAAAAATGGAATTTTTTTTCCAATACCTTTATAACGCTCATAAACAGGCTCCGAAACTCCCACAAAGTATGCAAATTCTCGGCCAGCTTTCTTCCGTCTGCTCAACTATGGAGTATGAAATGTGGCCAATATTCTCGCTTTCGTAAAAATGAAGATATCGCTTACAAACTTGTAAAAGAATTTGAATACTATGCCAACTTTTCAACGAATACGCTTACAACTCCCAAACGTTTGTATAACAGGGGGAGCATTCTTGGTTTCCATTCTTATAATCATATAAAATCAAACAAAATCAGCCGCGTCCACCTTATTCTTCTTTTCTCCTTTTTTAGTCATTTTAGGGACAACGGTGATGGGTCTAAAAGATTCGATTACGATCGAATATAATTTTCTTACTTTTCCTTTTCCTTTTCCTTCTCTTTTTTTTTTTTTTTATATAACATGTAGGAGTTCAGGGACATAATAGGAGGAAAAGGAGGAGGAGGAGGAGGAGGGGGAGGAGGAGGAAATAAGTGTTCCCGAATGAAATATGGCCTTATAATAGTTCTTCATCTACTGTCTTGCAATTGTTGCATTGTGTGCAGCGCTCCTTTTTCTTACCATAGTTACAGATCACATTCGCTTTCCGTACTTGTATACTACATATTTTTTTAATTTATAACATTGTAATGAAAACATACCACTAAATAAGATTTGTATTACATTTTATTAAAATATGAACTTGTTAAGTCGACTTGGTAATATTTTACATCACATGATGTGTAGTATGCAGGTCGTCATACGCCGCATCAAAGTGTAGATTCGTATTGACATGATTGTAAGGTGCCAACGAATTTAGTTAATATGTGAATTTGAAGATCGTGTAGTAATAATAAATCGTTCGTTAGAGCAAACATCCAAGAACTCTTTATTATTATATGTATGCAATGAAATAAATTACTTAATGGTTATCAAATTAAATAATTGCCTTAAGACAAATCTTGGGATTTTTTGTGTTTCAATAAATATATATTTACCTCAAATTTTTTTCAAAAAATATTCTTTTTATATACTCCTTATTTTGATTGAATGAATATGTGACCGACAGGATATATGACAGATACTATGTTAGATCGTGTATCAAGTGTTTGCAATCTATCATATAAGAAAATTAAAAATATGTATTTTTGGGAATTATAAAAATCCGACAAGCTTACTATATCTTTATGTATTACTATGATTGTAAAAATGTAGTTTTCATACCTCATACCTCATAGATATCTAAACTTTAACAAGAGCATTTTTTTTTTTTTTTTTTTTTTAAATTTTTAATTTTTTTCATAATTTAACCCTTTTTTAATTTTTTCTTTTTTTTTTTTTTTTTTTTTTTTTGGCATCACGATGATGATCTCGGAAATTTATTCAAAATAACAAACTTGATCTTCCCCTTTTGGCCCTCTATTGCACTCAGATTAAGAGTTGGTTTAAGCCGTCCATCCACAGTTTAGCGAAATGAGAGAATTAGTTTTATTTGCTCAATAATCCTTGCGTCCATCCGGCATCAGGTTATCTATAGCGTCTTTTTCATTAATTATCGTTCGGAAATTTCAACAATATGTTGCATATATCAGAAAATGTTCATGGTTGCGGTATTAGATGTCACGTCACGTTAAAGACATGCAATGTGAAATGTTTACACTCATATAATCTGTTACGTGAACATAATTTTCAACTTGATTGCTATAACGAACACATTACTCTTCATTTCGTAAACCGATTACAACAGTGAGCTAATTTACTTAACCAGGTTCGATCAGTCCAAGTTGTATATAATTTTATTCTTGCTTAAAATTAATTTCAGCTATTTTGGACTTGCATTGTTTATTAGAATCTGATTGGAGGTCTATTCTAAAAATTGATATCGATAATTAATTGCAAATCGAAATCAAGAAAATACAATAACAAGTAATTTAACCTCTAAGTTAACTTGATTGTGTCGCACTTAAAAGCAATAATGATGAGTGCCACAAAGAAACCCATTTCCCAGATAGCTCGACCGGGCTAATTTAAACAGAACATACCGCTATTGAAAGTTTCCCAGGATTCGTCAAGTGCTCCGCGCAAAATTGATTCGCCATATGGAATTTTATTTCTAAGAAATCTTTCGTAATGTTTCGTAACGGGCACATAACGCACATACGATTTTTTTCCTTTATCTTGTTTTTCAAGTTTCACATGACTAAGAAAAACTGAAATGTAACTTAAATGTAAATCCACACATATTAGGAACGCATAGCATACAACGCATGAAATCCTCTTGACAAAGCTATAGCGGATGCAAATGTGGAATTTGCCCACCGCATTGGACTTGCACGGAAATAATTAAATATCGGTACCGATTTCTTAATATAAGCAAGATGATCAAAGCATTATCGCCATTTCGGTCTATTGGTAGGAGGCGCTTAAAAATGTTGAAAACATTTTAAATATATAGTGAATTCGCTTATATAATATATTCTATACTGAATTATAGTGTGTTGCTCGCAATTTCCTCTCATCGAGCGTATATCGCACATATTAATTAATATGCCGTGTTCAATGAAAGGAAAAAAAAAAAAAAAAGGAACGACGACGACGATGACGCCATATAGGACGTACAGGATTAAAAAGGGATTGGAAAAGCCTTCCCTATGAATTATTTCAGGGAAGATTTGATACACACAAGACACTCATTGTTGTCACAAAATTGTTTTGTAAATCCGTGACAATGCTCTTGTTCAAGACATACCACTACGATCACTATTTATTAGGTGCTTGCGTTAATTTTGAGAACGTTTTACATTAATCCGAATATTTCCGATAATTTTCTACATTTTTCCATCTTTCTGGTAGTGCAAGCACCTAATAAGTTAGATTGCGCAGGCACGTCCTATACAAGAAATATGTTTTTCTAAATTGATAGCATTATGACGATCATCTCTGTCCTATATTACATCACAAAACGTCGTCATCATTAGTGGTTAAGCTGACTTTAATTTTGTACGGCACAAAAATTTTAAAAACTTTCCGATTTTTACATTGTGAGACTTTGTTTAAGATGACCCGAAATTGGAAAAGTCGGGCCAACCTATTCAAAAAACAAGGTAGTGTTAACGGTATTCTTCGGCTATCTCGATGCTGTTGTGTACTATGAATACCTTCCGCATTCTCAATAAGAAATATTATTTGAGTTACATATATATATGGAATAATAAATAGATTTCAAAAGGAAAAAATTAAATTGGTTTCACCTTTTGGACTGTTCTCGCCAAGGTTCTCATTATTCGTTACTTATGCTGCAGCTTCATCATAAAGTTGCTAAAAATTGAATGTTTTTGCTATTTAAAGACTTCCTTTTCACTAGAAATCTTACGTGAGATATGGTCTACCATACCGTGATCCCCACAGGTTTCAAGTTTCGCTTTCAAACAGCCATTGTGAATAAATTTTTATTGATACTTTTTTTATTTTGGCTGACTCTTCACGTAGGTACCGTTATATGCGAAAGGTTTCAAAAAATTAACTCACATTATCCAATTTGTTCACGTCCATTTTCAATGGCGTTCGAACTTGTGTCAAAACACATAAAATATCGTCAGAACATTTCAAAAATTGCGATGCGAAAATCAATTTCGGCAAATGATTCGGTATCGACTAGTACACTAAAATGCGGGCCTATTTTCACTTCCCCGCAGTGTAAGCACTATTGCACTGCACTTGCATGCGCTGCGCTCTGGTCGACAAATTGTTGATCTTTTGTTGGTCAATGAAATTCTTCAAAAAAAAAAAAAAAAAAAAAAAAATTGGGAAACATCAACACTTTGCACCTTATGACCTTGTACACTATGTCCGGCTATGGAAAGTAGGTCAAATATGACAATAATGTGTGAAAAAGTGGTTTTTTAAATTGAATCCGAAATTCATGCGACGTGAGTTGACGGTTTGTTATTTGATCTGTGCAT